GGGCGGCTTACAGCCAGTTTAAAAACAACTTAATACAATACAACATACAAAATTTAAGAAAATGATTAAAAATAAATATTTAAATAGGCCGCTTCTACTAAAATTTAGTTAAAACCAATTTAAAATACCCCTAGGCCAGTCCTGCCCGCTGAAACAACCAGGTCTTGAGGGCGCGGCGGAAGGAGGGGAGATCCGGAATGACCCGGATCTCTGGGGGCAGCTCGTTCCAGAGGGTGGGTGCTCCGACAGAGAAGGCCCTCCCCCTGGGGGTCGCCAGCCGACACTGTCTGGTTGATGGCACCCTGAGGAGGGCCTCTCTGTGGGAGCGTATCGGCCGGTGGGAGGTAATCTGTGGCAGAAGGCGGTCTCGGAGGTAACCAGGTCCAATGCCATGGCGCGCTTTAAAGATGATAATCAACACCTTGAAGCGCACTCGGAAGGCCACAGGCAGCCAGTGCAGCTCGCGCAGCAGCGGCGTTACATGGGCCATCACCGCCCGCGCGGCCGCATTCTGGACTAACTGGAGCCTCCGAGTGCTCCTCAAGGGGAGCCCCATGTAGAGAGCATTACAGTAGATGCCCCACATCTAATCAAAGCAACAAGGAATGGACTGGGAGTTGGATGAGGTTTGCAGTCAATGCCTCTGAAAGATAGGGAGATGCTAGAGGTCCAAGAATCATTAGTTTGCTCATAACTTAAGTACTAGGTTAGCACCCAACAAGCTGGACAACTATCACCATATCTCTAACATTTTCTCCTTTGAGTAATTCGGGGAATGTTATTGAGGAATGGATAAGGCTTAAAGTTACAGACTACTCTGGAAGATATGGAATATCTGGACTCTTGGCAAAAGCCAACATGGATTTGTCAAAAACAGATCATGCCAGACAAATCTTATTGCATTCTTTGACCAGGTGACAAAATTAGTGGACCAGAGGAATGCTGTCGATATAATTTACTTGGACTTCAGTAAGGCATTTGATAAAGTAGACCACAACCTACTACTTGATAAGGTAGAAAAATGTGGGTTAGACAGCATCACCACCAGATGGATTTGTAGCTGGCTGACCGGCCGTACTCAGCGTGTGATCCTCAATGGAACTGCATCTACATGGAGGGAAGTGTGTAGTGGAGTGCCCAGTGCTTTGTTCTGGGCCCAGTGCTCTTCAACATCTTCATCAATGATTTGGATGAGGGGATAGATGGGGAACTCATCAAATTTGTAGATGACACTAAGCTGGCAGGAATAACCAACACTCCAGAAGATAGGCTTAAGATACAGAAGGATCTTGACAGACTTGAACACTGGATGCTATCTAATAAAATGAAATTCAGTGGTGAAAAAAGTAAGGTTCTACATTTAGGCAAGAAAAACCAAATGCACAGGTATAGTATAGGTGGTACCTTGCTCAATAGTAGCAACTGTTAAAGGGATCTTGAAGTCCTAGTGGGCAATCACTTATATATGAGCTAGCAGTGTGCTGCAGCTGCCAAAAAAGTCAACACAGTGCTAGGCTGCATTAACAGAGGGATAGAATCAAGATCACACGAAGTGTTAATACCACTTTACAATGCCTGGTAAGGCCACACTTGGAATACTGCATCCAGTTTTGGTCACCACAATGTAAAAAAGATGTTGAGACTGTAGAAAGAGTACAGAGAAGAGCAACAAAGATGATCAGGGGACTGGAGGCTAAAACATATCAGGAACGGTTGCTGGAATTGGGAATGTCTAGTCTAATGAAGAGAAGGACGAGAGGTGACATGATAGCAGTGTTCCAATATCTCAAGGGCTGCCACAAAGAAGAGCGAGTCAAGCTATTTTCCAAAGCACCTGAAGGCAGGACAAGAAGCAACGGATGGAAACTAACCAAAGAGAGAAGCAACCTAGAACTAAGGAGAAATTTTCTGACAGAACAATTAATCAGTGGAACAACCTGCCTCCAGAAGCGGTGAATGCTCCAACACTGGAAGTTTTTAAGACAAGACTGGACAGCCATTTGTCTGAAATGATATAGGGTTTCCTGTCTGAGCAGGGGGTTGGACTAGATGACCTCCAAGGTTTCTTCCAACATCATCATCATCATTATTATTATCCAAAGCTCCCACCTGGGCAGAGCTCCTGTTAATTCAGAAAGACTCCCAACCTGTAGACTTGCTGGTCCAGACACAGTGCTACCCTGTGTCTGGAACAACAGAGATAATGTGTGAAAAGACAAATGATCAAACAGCAACTGTGTCTTGCTTAAGTTATAGAGCAATAAGACTATAAACAGTAAATATAATTAATATTGTCTTATTCATAAGATTCCAAATTGTAAAAATTACAGTATGCATGTCACGTTTGGTTATATTTAAATATAAATATTTTTAAAAACTTACATCCCAGTTACTGCAAAGAAAATCTGCAGTACTTAAATATTCACTGGCTCTTACAATATCATCAATATCAGAGAAGAACTCCAAATAATTCTGGTGAAGGTATACATTAAATAAGTCCCCAGGCATATGTGATTTTTCTATGACATCCTAATAAAAGAAAATATACACAGAATATCATACCACATAGAAAAAGTATCTATATTCCTTTAATTAAGAATTTTGCCATATGTACATAGATACATATTATTATAGAAATAACAAACATTTTTACCTCAGGTTGAACAAGCAAGGGCTGTCGTTCATATTCTGATAAATGTTGAGGTAACTGAGGAAAGTCCACCTCTGTAGCTGGTTCTCCTATAAAATTATTTAAATGATAACTGTAGTTTAATCAAACATCAAATGTCTGAAAAACAGAATCTTGGGAAACCGAGACAGGTATCTCTTCAGAAATAAATAGTTTATAGTTCAATCCTGGCTCACATGGTTTGCACAGCTTAATATGTATATTGTTATCTAAATTCTAAGTAATATTATGGTGAATTAGCCTGTATCAAAACGGCAGCACTTCTATTTTGTTGAAGATTTTCACTATTATATTTCCATAGGTTTTGTTTCTTTAGTAGTGACACAAAGTAATTAGTCAACATCCTGTTCCAAGGTGTCCATCTGTTGGGGTGAGTTATAGGTCCTGAGGAAGTCTAATGGGTATGATTATTGCATGGAAGAGCTTGTTAGTACAGAGAGTACATGTGCTAACTTATGGATATCTCCAGATACTGTAACAGTTGAATCTGGTGAGGAAGCAATCTGTAATGTCAAAGGAAAATGCTCTGTAAATCAGGGACAGAAGCCAGAACTCTTCAAAGGTGTAAAGTAAATAGCTTTAGGCTGTGGACTAAAAAACACAAGACAAGTCCTAGGTTTTAAGTCCTGACTAAACTATATATAGATGGCAAGATTTAGACAGAGTTTCTTCAAATGCATGGCTCCCTCTTTTTCTATATAATGAATTTATTTAGCTCATCTTCATACATCTGCTCAGGAATGTAAAGTGAAGAAGAGTTTAATTGCTGTACCTGGTATTGATAGGTGGGGTCAGAAGTTTTGATCCACTCATACAAATTATATGAGTTTCCTTACAATGACAGGCCAAGTTAAGGACAAAAAGTATTACTGAAATGTTTTTTTTTTAAAAAAAGTTATAACAGATATATGCATACATTCAGTTACAGTCAAATATAGAAATTAATAAAGAAATATTAGATTTTTTACATATATAATATAATAAGGATGAGTAGATTCTCTTACTTTTGCAGTAAAGTATTTTCCCCAAAGCATGGAAAAGGAAGATGGAAGCATCCTTGCTACCAATAGCTGGTATTTGTTGGTCTTCTAAAAAATTATTGAATAGTTTTTTCTTCTTTATTTTAGATGATGTATCACATTTTAAAACATAATTTTTCTTTCTTTGTGACCATAAGCTCTTGTCTGATGGCTTCCCTGAAAATAATAAAAAACAAGAAAATTAATAAATTCAAAAAATGGAAAACTTTGACTTTAATAGTGTGGAAAACGAAAATATTGGCTATTGTTCTTCTATGCAAGGTTTAGGCCCAGGTGAACTAAATCAGGTCTCATGGAAAAAGTATTAAACCAAAGTTTGTGCTAAGCTCAGTTTTGCAATCCGAAGGAACCAGTGGTGGAATTCAGCTGGTTTGCATCACTTTGGCAGAACTGGTAGCTAATTTTTTGTTGCCCAGGCCCAGAATGGCCTTCCGAAAGTGGCATCCACACAAAGAACCGGTTGTTCACATATTTTAATCCCACCACTGGAAGGAACTATTTGTAATCTAAACTGCAACTCTACTTTATTTAATATGATTTTGCTAAGCTTGCTTGTTTCAAATATATTTAGAACATAAGGACTGGAATTGTAAGAAACAGGGAACTGAAAGTAGCTGATGTACACAATGTACACAAGTATGTGGAAAGTTGTGTTCAGCAAAGGGTCAGCAGAAAGTCAGCAGAAAGTGTAAGGTTGCTGACCATCTGTCTACGGTCTTAGGATGAGATTTGCCACTGGCCTATAGCTGTCCTTATTGGAACTGCTATGTCATTGGACCTCATTGCAATGGGTTTTTAACATAAGTGATGTTTATGTGTGTGTTCCAAATTATTGCTGAAATAAACCCCTGAATCTTAAAGTAAGAAGTATTGCTTTGTGTTGCTGTCTCTTGTTTTTTTTCATTGGGTTTTTCCACGACAATAGTATCTTACAATAGTAAGATACAACATAACTTTTACAGCAAACTTATGTCTAGAAAGAACATATATTGTTTTACTTTTTATTTAATTCTGTTCTGGGTAAAAAATGCATGCACATTTTTAAATTATTAAAAAAATTACTGTGAATATTGTTTTTAAAATGCTTTTAATTTTTCAGAAGTTTGAAATTCTTCAAAGGGTAACTGTTTTTATTCGATGCGTCTGTGATTTTTCTTTTAATTACTTTTTTATGTACTGCCTATGTGAAGAGGACTTTAAAATCTTTAGAAAGTAAAAGGTCTTGTTTTATGCTTTCTTATGTTGTTTGACTTAATTATGTTACTGTAATTAATAATGCCTACTAATGATACTGGCTATAACAATGTTACTACAAATAGAAAACATTCTAATTTGTAATATCCGAAAGACATAGTGTGCAATAGGGGTAAAATACTAGAATTCAACATTAATATACCATGTGGGAATTTAGCTAAAAATAGAATGAAAACATCAACAATAAACAATAGTGATAAAAGAAATAGTGATAAAAGAAAAAAGATAGCAAAATGGAAAATATTAAAAAAAATAATATGAGTTAGTATAAAAATAACACCGCACTTTAAGAATCAAATAAACTTAACTAGCCATATTCAGTTTATCCAGATAAACAATTAGGATAGTTTGTCAATAACATAATTAAACATAACTAGATATAAATTAAGCATTCTTTAATTGGGCTTACTCTTCAAAATTCTTATTTTTTTCATCCACTACTATTTCCCACACTTTTAAGCATTAGTAATGCTAAAAAGAAACAGGTTTTTCTATATTGTAAAATAAAATGTCTTTCTGACAAATTCAAAAGCAAAAAATTGTTATTTTTATATGTTATTTTAAAAAATTTAAAGCACAATTTAAATGAATAAGAATATTTTCTTACCTTTTAGAGAAGAAAATTGAAGGGTGTTTATTGCACTTCTAATGTCACCTGAACATCCACTGCAAATCACTTCTAATAAGGCTTTGTCAGGGACATCAATTTTATCTCTTCTCTACAAAGAAAATTAAAAAAAATCAAAGCTAATTTGAGTAAATCTACATAAAGCATTCAAAAAATAATATTTCCCAGATGCTTCCTGCTTCCATATCTATCTTTTGTTTGGTCTAAAAGTTCGAAAGATTAAGCTCTACTTTCCTATCCACTTTGTAAAGAACATTTATCACTTAATATTTTCACTACTACTACAGAATCATTCAAAACTCTGTCCCTATTTTACTTTCACAACAATTTTATATTAAAGTTGGACGAGCAATGCTAATTATGATGTTTAGAACTGATATTCAAAACTAATGTTTAGAACTGAACAAAGATTTTTGAGATCAATACTGTCAACCATTATTTTACAACACGATTTTTTAAACTTCTAAGATATCGTTCAGAAGGAATGTAATGTTTCTATCTCCAACCTTTGCTTTCTGTATGCCTTATAGTATGACATTATTGTAATTTAATTTATCTTACCATATTGATCTCCCCTGTGATTATTCGATTTAGGGCTTTCATCATCAGTGTTGGTGCTACTGGGTTAAAACTGAGAAAATTGTAAGAAGGAAATGGTCAAGATAAATTTCATCATGAGCATTTCATCATGGCCAATGTAGCTGTCAATTTATTTACCTAATGGTTGCTATACACAGCTCTTCCTGAATTGCCTTTGGGAATAGAGACCTTTGGCTGCTCCCTCTGCTGAAAACATCCGATATTATAAATACAAGAGGACATCTGCTTGTCCGCAAAAAACTCCTACAAGAAAAAAAACCCTGAAAATTAGCAGCTGAAATTTAACAGCATTAATTCTGACCAGCAATTAATAGAATTGCACTAGCAAAAATACAAGAGGTACATAACTTGCAACTCACTTGTTCACCACCCCCAAATTAGCAGCAAAAGAAAGAGATGGAACTTTGCATTTTGGTAGTGGACTATTCTGCACTGGAGAAAGTGAGGCTTGGTCCAACCATGCCCATTAATTTCTCTGAGTGATCCTTTGGCAAAATAAGATACTGAACATACCTCAGAATGTCATGTAAACTGTTAGGGTCATGATAAAAATGGTTTGGCATATCCTGTTGAAAAGCAAATACAATATTGTTATTCTAACATATCTGCTAAATTGAACTAAAATCTGTTGCGCATTTAGGGTATTTTACTTTTCAACTATAAATGTTACAAACATGGAATATTTACTTGAAATGAACCCAATGCAGTATAGTGCCAAGATTGAAGATGGAGAGGCAGAAAGCTACAACTTTCAAGCCAGAAAGTTATTATGTACACGAAGAGCTGTAGCTGTTTTCTATTGTCTTGTAGAGAGCAATGAAATATTATTTAACTTGGAGAAATGGAAATAAAAAGCTTAGATTTAATACCGAGCTTAGTTAGACAAGACAAGCACACACATCTGTGGAGGCCTTAAAAGATGTTATCTGCATTATCTATCAATAGGAGTCTATGCTCTGGGTTTATCTATCTATCTATGACAGATTCTGGATTTATTTCATGCCTAAAAAAGAGGTCCAACATATAAGGGTGTTCATGAACCTTTGTTCATATAAATCGAAAGTGCATTTGGAAATCACAAAAATAGATATGGGATTGATTTTGCCCACAGTGACTAGTTTTAGAACAAAGAATCTAAATGCTATTGTTATGAATATCCTTATTTAATTATTCAAAAATCTGGTATTTTGGGCACCAAGAAACGATGGTTATTGAATTTAGAACTCTGCATTCCCAGCTAATGCTCTACTATTAGACTACAAAATTTTCCAAAATGATAATAAAATAAGGCTCAACACAATGAAAAAAGATTTCAGGCCATTATTTTGCACATTCTAAAAGTTTTAAAATCTTAATTGAAAAAAATCATATATTTGTTTTATATTTGAGCAATTTTTATCAATGATTATCAGTAAATCTGTTTGAAATAAGCTATTAGTTATTATTATAGAAAATTGAAATTTTACTACTGAGCAACTAAATTTGGAATACCTAATTAACTTAAAGTGGTATATTTAAAAATTGGGAGAAAATAATAGAACATTTAATTTTAATTATTAAAATACCTTAATGGAATTATTCAACTACTTCAACTTACTTCCACAAGAATGAGTCTTTTGTCAGTGTCCATGGCCTCTCCAACCATCTGAAGCTTGATATACTTGTTTGCTCTTAGGAGAAATTCTTGAAAGATAGCTGCCTGGCTCTGATAAGGAAGTATCTGAAAATCTGATTCTAAACAGGAGTGTTTATTTTACAATATGCACTAAGTACTAAGAAAAGTACTACAGATATGTGATAATATGCTACAGCTTATTGTTTTGAATTTTGTTCTTATATTTATTTGCATGGATTGTTACTGGTCCAAGATCAATAGACATGTAAATTACAGGAATCGGATGAGCTGTACAGGCAGAGATCTCAGTACACAATAGTGTATATTTTGAAACAATGGCCAGATAAATCAATTACTGAATTGAAATTGTTCAAAAAAATCAGATGTGCTTTAGAACTGAAGGCTTGTCCATCGTTATAATGCTACATTTCTGGGCAAAAAGATGAATTTTATTTGAAAGTTTAAAACTAGTCTACTGAAAAGTTTTTACTGAAAATTAATCATTAGTTTAATAATAGTCATATTATCTAGATCAGAGATATCAAACATGCAGCACATAGGCTACATGTGAATTACAACACTCTTGGATGCTGCCCAAACCTGATTAAAATACAGTGGGGAAATTTATTTAAGAAAATAAGAAAAAGAGAAAATTCAATTAAACATAGATAATATTCCACATTTAAAAATTAAACAATAATACATTTATTCACCAATCACCATAAAACTCTGGACTCGTGGCTCATGAGGTCAAGTCCGCTGCCTTAATTGCAGTAACAAAGATTTTTTAGTTTGGATGGAGCAGGAGCATCATGTGACAGAAGTTCCTTCTCAAACTGTGCTGTAGCAGGATGAAGTGACCCAGATATTGCAATTAAGCTGAGGCAGCAAGCTTGCACCTTTTTCCCAGGACTGCTGGCAGACAGCTTTGCATTAAGAGCTGACCTTCCCTGAACCCCAGAACCTTTAGCATCTTCTTCCAAAACATATTTTAACATATCTCTACTATATATTTTTGCAATTTATTCATATTCTTATATTGTGGTGCACAAACTTGTTCTTGTTTTAGAACAAGCTGCACAAAACCTTTTTTTTTTTTTTTTGCACATAGAATAACAGAAATTAGAGGGCACACTTTAGGGAAGTGTTAAGTGGGAGTATGAGGTGGTGGTTTGCACGTAGGCTGGGAAGACGCTCAGAATGGAGTTTTGGGGAAATTGAACACCAAGAATTTAATCCCAAGAGTAGAACAAAGCTTTCGCTTGGGTTTTAGAGAAAATGCAGTTTATCATCCAACTGAAATCACATGAACTGCAATTAATCTTAAACATCTTTAATGAATACAAACCAAGTTTAATCCCCTATCTTCAGAGCTGTCTTTTCTTACTAAATATAGCTAAGAATAAATTATGGTTCAGACATAATGCAGACATATGGCTAGAACTTCCTTGCAGTCACACTAGCAGAAAGGAAAACAGAACAAGGAGCACATGTAGTCTTGGACACTGCCTGCAGTTACAATTTTGAGTTCAACTGGTATTTTCAACTTGACTGAAATCTGCTATCATTCTAAAATGCAGCAGTTTTAAAACATAGGAAATCATAATATAGAGGAAGCTGAGAATAAAGAATGCCTTTTTTTCTCAGGCATTGAGTAGAGACTATGAGCATGTGTAAAACCTTTGGAATTTCCTCAGTAGCTTACTTTCGAATCTATTGATTAGAAGTTAGTTCCATTTATTCTAATGAAATTTGCTACCATCTAATGGTCATCCTACCAGAAATAAATATCCCATTAAATATATTCAAATTCTTCAACAATGAACAAGTGAACGTTTTAAAATTTTACCATGATTGAAAGCAACTTGAAAGTCGTCATATTTTTTGAAGTCTAGTGCTACAGGATTTATCCATTCTTGTATCTGAATGCCAAGGTCCTTGGCTAATATTTCCACAGTAGCAGATTTTCCACATCCTGGAGGGCCAGTTAATACTAGGATGGAGCCTCCCTATAAGATACTGTATCATAAGCTGAGTTTACAATACTTAAACAAAAAAACAATATGGGTTTCTTGATAAAACATAATAGTACTTTGGTTTCAGTAATATCCATTTTTATATTTTCAGTAAATACAGTAGCCATAGTTATATTCTCAGTAATTCACTATTACAACAACCCACTTCCTTTATGCTGCACAACTTAATTCCTGTTACAATTTAATACTTGTTGCAAACAAATTGTTTGGACTGCATTCCAGATGGCCTAGTATGTGTCAAATGTTCTCTAAATGGAAGCAGATATTCCTTAATGGAAACTTGCTTACTCACTTAGTGACATAAAACTTCAGGATATTCAGAAAAAAAGAAACACAAACTGAATAATGTATCTCAAGGCAATCTTTGTACAAATCAATTGCAACTTGCTTTATCTTTATCTCCACAAATAAGTTTATTTTATTCTAGTAAATAAATGTTGCTCTAAAATTATATTACACAAGATTTTGATAATATTCTAATTTTACTTCATTAATTGGTAAAATAAAATTAAAACTAGTGATTGAAGTTAAATAAAAGCTTCAAAATGAGCAAACTGGCAGATAAAAGTCTTAGGTTCGTAATATTACCTGTCTTGGCTGATTTTGAAATATGTGACCTTTTAACCATCTTTCAACTTCTTCAATTTTTTTCTTGTGTATGACAAGGTCACTCTAACAAACAAAAATATGCATATAAGACATATTTATGTAGCAAAATGTTAAGTTATGTATTATCTATACTGTAATTCTCTTAGCATATATACCAGATGTAAACAAATTAAAATATTAGAGAAGAATCCAATCTCGGTGACAATTTACTTCACTTACAAAATGATATACAAATGATATAATTTTGGTCATTTGTAAAACAATAACATACATATATTGAAATGAATATTCTCCCCTTATTCTACCTATATGTTGAATACATATTAAGGGAAACTGAAATGGAAGATGAGAAGAATGGTTTTAAAGTTGGAGGAAGAAACATAACCTGTGCTATGATGAGGATACTATCCAGACAGCAGAAAATGCAAATGCTCTGCAAGCCTTAATATAAAGTAGAACACAATGAAAAAATGAGACTAAAATTAAATATAAGGCTAAACTAATTACAACAAGTAGAACAACCAGTGTGTAACTTTAGAGAAAGAAGTACATTTATAATTGTATTTATAATTGCTGTAAAGTAGAAAGCCACTTTTTTGTATTTTTTCTTTTCTATTTTTATTTTTCTTTCTTCCTTGCACTTCTAGCTCTGATTTTTTTTCTTTTCATTTCCTTACTCTGACTTACTTTCTATTAGTTTTATTTTTTTTATAAATCTTTTAATAAAATTATATCTATATCTACAGTATATGTATATTAAAAAACAAAGGTACAGTAATTAGCCTTAGAATTGACAAAGAAGATATCAAAGTGGTGGATAGCTACTGCCTTTTAAGATCAATAAAGCAACAAGCAGTCAAGAAGTATGCCTCAGACCAGTGGTGGCGAACCTATGGCACGGGTACCAGAGGCGGCACTTGGAGCCCTCTCTGTGGGCACACATGCCGTTGCCCCAACCTTGCCTCCCCTGGGACCCCCTCCTCTCCAGCAGTCCCCCTGAAAGAGAATCGCCCTCGAGCGTGGCTCACACAGAGCAGCGCAGCCAAGGACATGGCAGCCAGGCAGTGTAGACAAGACTCTGCCCTTACACCCGATCATGCAGTTGATGCTGCAGGGCGCGGGCAGAGGGTGTGGCTGCCATAGCGCTGCTGGGCTACCTGGGCGATCTGCGGCGGGCCGTGGAGGGGGTGAGTGGTCCTGTGGGCAGGCAGGGCGGGGAATGGGGGGGCAGGGCAGGGGGGGTGGAGCAGGTGCGAGGCCAGTTTTTGGGCACTCGGTCTCTAAAAGGTTCTCCATCACTGCCTCAGACTATTTCCAATACTGGAAATGGAAAAGACATCCCATCTCTTGAGATTTCAGAATACATCTGAAGACAAGGAAGATGATCTTACAGAGCTTACAGAGCTGTTAGTAGAAACATAGAAACTTGAGAAACAAGAAACGGAAGGAGAAACTGATGGAGAAGAAAAGTGAGAGCTGTTCAATGAATATAAATGGGTTGAACTTTCCTTTAAAAATATCTTACCAAAACTGCTTTTCCTATTTCAAATAGTACCTATAGTGAAAAAAAATCTTTGATGACTTAAATACACTGACTTGGAAACCCACTTGGCAAAGGAAGAAAGCCAGAATTAGACTAAAGAAAATAGAGGATTTGGCTCACTGAATGAGGTGCAATATTACTAAGCATGTGATTAAATACGGCTAAAAGAATGGATAACCTTTAGACATCCAAGATTACTATACTTAGAAGGATATAATGTATAATTAGGATAGCATGTTTTTTATGTTTTGGGAAGAATAAAATGGATATATATTTTCAAAATTAGAAATATACTATTTTTAGTATGGGAAATAAAAGCTAAAATCTATATGAAAATACCAGGGTGGCTTTCAACAATGGAAGCTTCTGTTCACCCAAACTTAATCAATTTTGAGGAAATTGTAACCTATAAAGATATTTTGAATATTTAAGGGAAATTAAAACTGAAACAAGATTGGAAGATCATGGTATTGATTTATTGTGATGGCCTCAATTGTAAATACAACTGGAATATGAGAAAGATGTTAAAATATATGTTTTATAAAGATTAGATGTTTGATCAGGTGATAAAAATACATATTGGCTAAAAAAGTGTATATTTAAAGTTGCATGTCTTAATAACAGTAAGAATTGTATTTGCTCAGTATGGGAAGATATAGAATATTTTTAAATATGGGATATATTGTATCACTGGCTGGGAAAATGAGTTAGAGATTAGGAATTTAATATGTACTATTGAGTAAAGCAAATGGACCCAGACAACACATTGTTCACTAAGCACTTATGAATTGTAAAAATAGAAAACTAATAAAATATTATATTAATAAGAAGTATGCCGCAGACTAGTACTTGATAGACCGGCTATGAAGAAGATATTCAAATGCTATAATGTTTATATCCCAACAAAAATTAGAATCATGCAAGCCATGATATTCTCTGTGACACTCTATATAAGTGAAAGCTGAACTTTGAAAAAGCAGGATAGAAAGAGTATTGATGTCTTTGAACTCTGATGTTGGAGAAAACGCCAGAAAATACTATGGACAGTCAAGAAAAGAAACCAATGGCTCATTGAACAAATCAAGGTTCTAATGCTGGCAAAGGGGGAAACAGGAGAAGGGAGAAAAGGGAGGAAGAGGGGATAGCAAGGAAAAAGGAAAGGAAAGGAAAAGAAAGGAAATGAAATCAGTATGGTGGATGGACTCAATTATGGTGGTAATGAGGGCACTGCTGGAAGACCTCAAAGAATGTGTTAGAGATAGATTGTCATCAAAAAATCTATGTGATTACTTGGAGTCAAATTTAACTTGATGGTATATAATCAATCAATCATGCACCTTCTAATTTAACAGACAACTGGAAATAACACATCTTCCTTCCTACAAATGGTCCATTAAATTACAGTTTCACTGAACACATATGATCAAAACCTGACATTTTTATAATAATTTTTAATTTAGTATTTTGTCTATTTCTTTAGATATAGTGTAACAAGCAAAACAGTTATTATATTAAATATATACCAATGTATATATTAATGCAAATATTAGTACTACTACTAATATACATTATATATTAAATCGTATAAAACTATACCTGAGTTTTTGGTTTGTATTTATCTACCCATGGTTCAATTTGGATGTGATTTTGTTTGAAGAGTTTATATTTCTCATCTACAGAAAGTGGTTTTCTTATTTTTCTACCACACTTGTAATTTTCAAGCAGAGGAAAATGCTCTTTGCTCTCGTGATAATTGTCAATATCTGTGAGCGATTTTTTATGGAGAATACTAGATGATAGTTTGGCAGTCTCACAAAAATCAATAAAAGATGGTTCCACCCAATCAATCTCCTGATAATATAAACATGTAGAAATTATTGCAACACAAAAATTATCAATTCTTAAACCAGTTAGTATTTTATTATTCCCTTTATATACAGTAACCAATATTTTAGTAGTTAGAAAAATGAACATGAAGTAAACTATCCTACAATATGTAATATGTGTGCAATCATTTACTGAACATAAAACAATTTAAACGCACATAAACCACTTCCAAACATTTAGTAATATTTTGCTTATCTTTAATAGTTCTTACATTTCAATTCTGTTTAGTCTAAAAAAATTATTGCAATTTTTAAAGAAGCCAAATTCAAATTAAACAAAAAAAACCCCAGATTAAAAGACTAGATTATGTAATCTAGTAGTTTACTAGATTGTGTAATCTAGTAGTTTAGGTAATCCCCGAGTTAACAGCATTCCCTTAGCGAATGTTCGAAGTCACGTAATAAGCACCGCCTAGTGTTTTTGAAAAAGTCTCAAAATTACGAATGTTGTCACACCACAGCAGTCGTTCATCCTTACGAACAACCACAGTGGCACTGCAACATTCACCCTGGCTATTTCCTCCCTCCCGCCCCCTCGGGTCTCCCTAGGCACTAGGCCTGTGGATATTCACCTTGTGAAGACTAAGAGATCCTTTGCTTTCTTGGCTGCTCCAGGCCTTCGGTGCATTTACAGAGAATTGAGGCCTTCAGTAACACAAGAGATTAGTGGCGCGAGATCTCACGCTATTGATCTTGTGTGATTTCATGGTAAGTTTAGCCTCTGTTCTCTGCAACAGAGAATGGAACAGAAGCTGGGGGTAGCTTCCACGGGCCTCCGGAGACCTGATCCGGGCATCAAAGGCCTTTTCTGGGTTGCTGCCACCCGGAAAGGAGGCCAGGGGAAGCTTTTGCAGGCCTCCGGAGGTCCGTTCTGGACTTGGAGGCCTCCTCCAGGCTTTCGAGGCCCAGAATTGAGGCCATGGGTGGCGACCACGTACTTCCAGAGGTCCGTTCTGGGGCTCGGAGGCCTACTCTAGACCTCTAAGGCCCAGGACGGAGGCAGTGGGCAGTAGCCATGTGCTTCTGGAGGTCCGTTGTGGCCCCCCAGAGGCCTCCCTCTGCTCTTGCTGGGAGCAGAGAAAGAAACAGGCTGGAGAGGAGACAGATCTTCACAAGGTAAGTGACCCGGTGTGGCATGATTGGGAGGGGGAGCAATTGTGGGACCCCCAGGGAGGGAGCATGAGGTATCTCAGTGGGGGGAGGATTGGGTGGTCTGAAGCAGGTGACCTGTTCCATCACTAGGCCACCCTGACCTTTCCCACCCTGAGATGTTCACTTAGCGAGCTATGCATTCGCCCACGCATTAAATTAAGTAAATGCGTGGGCGAAAGCTGGAAGTGAATCGTGTTCAAGGTAAGAGATTCACTCCTACGAATCCTCGAGTTATGAATGGAATGAGCAGGCACAGGACTACCTGTAATACCAAGTGTGGAGAAAAAAAATCCCCAGATTTTTTTTTTCCACACTCAGTATTACACAATCTAGTCTTTAAATTAAAAGTTTAAAGTTATAATGATTTCAAAATACTCCATTTGGCTACAAGGGTTTTGATATGCCGGCATCAGCCTGAATTTAACACCTGATACAACAAATAATAATTTAATAAAATAAATAAATCACTTACTTTAGTTGGGGCTGCCTTTCTTTTTGAAGATTTTTTTGACATCATCAGCCTTTGCAGTTTCCATCCAAAGTATATGATCAAATGCCTTTAAAAATAAAGTACCTAAAAGATAAAGAAACTTTTATATTAATGAAGTCTGCAAGCCCACAGATAGTTACTGAGACTTACATCTGCTTCTCTCATTTGTATAGCTTCTTTTTTCTCTTTCACATGTTGTTACTTTTTTTTCTTTTTAAAAAAGCTACTTTTTATTGCTACAGAACAGGAATGCACCACCTCCAAAGTCCCTGAAGTGCTGCCCTCTGTTGAAGAGAACACACTTCTATCCAACACAGTTCTAAAATTTTCAATTATAGCAACATCTGTTTAGTGCAGAAATAGAATAATGTATATAACATTATAATACTATAACACATGCATGAGATAACCTGCATATTTAATTTTTCACAAAGAGCGAATGTCTTGGTATGTACAATAATTTATACATACAACATGCAACAAGCCAATTGGAATTGCATAGCTTTACTGTATATCTATAATCTCCACTGTCATTGTGAATATACTTCAATAATTTCAGTACAGAGGATTCTTATTTAGTGACAATTGGACCAGCAACTCAGTTAAGGGAAGTGGTTGCTAAGTGAAACCGCAACTGTGTTTACAATCTTACTTCAGTTTTCCTTTGCTTTACAGACCTGTGAAGAACTAGTTACAAAGCTACTAGTTACTAGTTACAAAGCTACTTTTTATCACCACTCTGTGAATGGTTGCTATCTGAGGTAGTTGCTAAACAAGGACTATCTCTACATTAAGCAATTTTTTGTTTTGAAGCTAATCAGCCAAGGGAATTCTAATCTAAACATGTTCCTAATCAGGATACATCATTGTACCCTATTTGATCAAATTATAAACTCCAAGCTGTTGAGAAAAATTCAAAAGCAGACTGACAATGTATCTACAAAACAGGCTATTGGGTTTATTGTCAAAAAGAAAATACTAATAATTCCAAAAGAGAATAGCCAAAACTTCATTATTTCTCACAGTGTCATCATTACATATTTGTACACCTAAGTAAAACTTATAATGAATAGTATAGTATACAGATTCATCTGATGTAGCGAATCAAAGTTCCTATTTCTATGTTCATATACACCTCTGAAATGAAGGTGACAAACACCTTCCCTGACAAACAGCACATAGTGTGGATTGTGTGGATTATATTGAAGAACTTATAGCATTTTTTTCAAATTTTTCAATTTTAAGATGCGCTGACTTCAACTCCCAGAATTCCCCAACCAGAAATCTGGGAGTTGGTCCACACATCTTAAAAGCTGACAAGTTTGAAAACTGGTTATATCTTTGGGAATCAGATAAATGAAAAATCATGAAAACATTTATGCAATTAAAGAAGCATTCAAAGAAGGAACAAAAATCAAATACAGGCCACACGACACATACTGATTTAACCAATGGCCTCCAAATATTGACAGGGTACTTTTTGAGGTCTTCAAGATTCAATGGCTGCCCTTTCTATGAAAAAGACATGCGGTAGGGTTTATAACTAACAGTCACGTATGTGGGATGGGCAGCTATATAAATTAAATAAATATTATAAGCAAATCCAGCAAGGTGGGGGTCGGGGCGGGAGGTTTTCTTATTCTATGAGGGACACCTCCAAGGTGGAAGAAGACTTCAGCCGCCATGCACTTTGGAAAGAACTCTTCCCGACTGCGCTCAGCCACGAAGCCCGGCCTCGTCCCTAAGAGAGAGGCTCCATCCAGCTATAGTGCGCGGGCACCATTTAGTTCTGTCAGGCTTCAGCCCACTTATTTCCGTCACCCAAAACCACACCCAGCCCTTCACACTCCCCTCTTTCTCCCTACCCTCTCAGGCCAGCTCCATTCCGACTGGGGCCTTTCAAGCTCTTCGGCGCTTAGCTGTTCGCCGAGCGCCTAATACGGCTTCTACTTTGTCCCCTCTCCTGCTTTTAGTCAGGCCCTGCGAGAAGGAGTAAATATGATCGAGAAAGCTTCCGGGTGAAAAAAATAAAACCCTGCAAGGCTTTACCTTTTCCACCTACCGTTTGGAAGAGAGAGGAAGGAGGGCCCGACTGACGTCTTAGTCTGCTGCCATCCGAGTAGGACGGTTCAGGTCCCCGCGAATAGCTGCACGTGGCTTCTTGATGGCAACAGGAGAAGTGGCTGTAGGAGCAATAGAGCGGCTATGAAGAGGCCTAACATTTTACTCACAGGTAAAAGAGAGAAAAAAACCCAGCGAAAGGGTCCGTAAATAGGAGAAGAAGCGGGAGGTGTTCGGATTAGTATAGCTTTAGATCGAGCGCAGTCGCACTTTCCAAAAAGAAGGAAACAAATAGGGAGCGTAAACAAATCTCCGATTCAGTCTCACGCAAGGGTAATATCACACATCCCAATGCTGCCGCGATCAAAATCGGTGATGGGATAGCAAAAGTTAGTCTCATTTGCTTTGCGCTGGTTGCTTTTAGCTAATTTTGCTTTCAGGCTTTCCCACATTTTGATTGCATCGCTCTTTCCCTCTCAAGAACAGCAGGTAAAAATTACCCTTTCGTGTTGCTTTTTTATTTGCATTAAATTTAATATATAAGAAGCATTCAAAAATGCGATTACCTACTTTCAGTTGGAAGTGGTGGTGTTATTCCATAAACATTAGCACCTCTTGCATGTGAAAACCAGGACTAACCAATGGGTCTTGTATGAGCCCTTGTTCTCGGATATGTGTGTGTATGTGTTTGTGTGCATCTATGTATGTATATGCTAGGACTAAATGATCACATTTTTAGAGACTAAGAAGCACTCGTTGCAGTAAATACGGTATCTTGTTTAGTTTTTCAGATCGATTTTGCAATGGAAGCTTATTATAAATATTTACTACAGTACTATCCTGATTGTTTCTTTGTGCCTTGCATTTTTGTAGGAACGCCTGGTGTTGGGAAAACAACGCTAGGCAAAGAGATAGCTCTGAGAACAGATTTTACATACATTAATGTGGGGGATATGGCTAAAGAAGGTAATTTTTAAATTTTTACAGTATCTACCATTTTATTAACATTTATGTCCCAACTTTTCTGATGTACATGGATAAATATATCTAATTTAATACTAATTATATCTGTAATTTATATATTTTAATAATACAGACATTCCAGAAGTATCTCTAAAGTGGAATCCTGTACAACACATTAGATTAAAAAAAACAAATATGAAACTGTAAAATTAGTGCAAAAAATCAAGCTGAAGAAATTATTGTTAATTCTTTTCCCAAAAACCAAGTGGATGCTATCAAGAGTAGTGAATGAGAGATTCATTGTTTAAATAGTTGACTACTGTAATTAAAAGGATTTGATTGTGGCTGGGGAATTCTGGGAGTTGAAGTACATACTTCATGAAGTTGCCAAGTTTGAAAAACACTCATCTAGAACATACAGCATAAAATACATCTGAAGATTAATAACAATGAGTTTCCATTTTTTTAAATTATTTAGGGGAACTATACGAAGGCTTTGATGAAGAATATGAATGCCCAATATTAGATGAAGACAGAGTGAGTTTAAACTGAAATATGTATTTAATTATCTATTCAAATTTTTGTAACTAAGAATCCACTGTTTAGTTTTCTTTGCATTATTTTCTATATAGGTTATTGATGAAATGGAAGATAAGATGCAGGATGGAGGTGTCATAGTTGATTATCACAGCTGTGACTTCTTTCCTGAACGCTGGTTTAACATAGTATTTGTGCTTCGCACTGAAAATTCTTTTTTGTATGACAGATTAGAAAACAGGTAAGTCAGTGACACAAAACTAAATATAGTTAAGTTTCAACTTAAAGCAAACCTTATTAATGCATAATATCAAACTTCAGTATTTTTACCTCAAAAATTAAATGTTTGATGTTGTTTTTATATTTTTCTAGAGGTTACAAAGGAAAAAAGCTTCAAGACAATATTCAGTGTGAAATCTTTCAGACAATTTATGAAGAGGCCATGTCATCCTATAAAGAAGAAATTGTACATCAGTTGACTAGTAATACTCCAGAAGATATGGAACGGAATTTAGATCAAATTATACAGTGGATTGAACAGTGGATAAAAGACAACAACTAATTTTTGAAAAAAATATTTACAATGATAAATAGAAGTTGTGTTTTCCTTCATTGAAGAAACAATAATAGTTGCTTCATTCAGGATGAAAATTAACAAGGAGGCCACTGAATTTTCTATTTTATGCTGTGTTCTTTATTTAGACTATGAAAGCAGGTATCAGACATTAAAGGGTTAAGAATTTAAAAATCTGAAAAATTGGGTATCCAATATCCAATAATAAAAATATTTGTAAAGATAAAAAATATTTCCCTAGATAATATTGCTGCCAAAATCTTATTCCTGTACAAAGTTTTATTAATGCAGCGGATCTTCTGAGATTCATTTCTAAACATGGGACCATGCAATTTAATATATGAACATAATTTTAGTTATTAATTTATTAACATGGTGTAAATAGATAAGCAAATTTGTATCCGTGTCTATGTTTTTGTTGATTTGTTGCTGTTTAGTAAACTACTTTGCTAAGCTTATTTCTTGTTACGTTTAGAAGACATCCTCAACCCAGATTCATGAACTCATTTCTGGATAAATGCTGATGGCATTTTGCAAGATTTTTGAAACAAATAGGTTATATGTATCCATAACTACAGTGATCCAAGAAGTGTGCGATGCTATTGCTTGTATCATGTTTTTCTATTCTCTGCCCTAGCCTGGATCATAATAAATATTACCAGAATTCATTATCCTATTTTTTTCTAAATACTGAGTAATTTAATAAAAAGTGAACATATAGTGAAAAGATGAGAACATTGATTGGTGAGAAAGAGCATTTTGTCATGTCAAAAATGCCTATATAAGGTATATAAAGTGCCTTTTTCTTAGCACTCCCAAATTTGATACTAAATGGATTTGATAAATTAAGATTTTAATCCTAACCTTATATCGTATTCCATCCAGAGAATGAACAGAAGACTGTATTTAGATTCTCTTTCCCCACCTTTAATACCTGCAAGATCCAAAGCAGAGTTTGATTGTGTAGGAAGAGCGTTGGGGATATAGACTCTTCTGCCTCTTGTACTATTAATGAAATGACTTGATTAGAAGCACAATTGCCTTCTGTTTTCTATTTTGGTTATATTCTGAAAATGGTTACAAATCCCCCTTAAATTGAATCATGAGATTTAAAATAGGGTAATGCATATTTCTTTCTCTATTTGTAAACTGGGTCAATGATACTACTTTACAGTACTCCTATAGTGGTAGTAATACAGGTAGTGGTCATTTAGCTACTGCAGATTATGATGGTGATGAAAAAGTAACCATAACCAGTTCTCATACTTATGACCTTCACAGGTCTATAAAGCAAACCAAAGCTGAAGTAAGATTATAAGCATAGTAGTTTCACTTGACTGCTTCACTTAATGACTGAGTTGCTGATCCCAATTGTGATCACTAAATGAGAATTATATGAAAAAGATATTTTTTAAAAAGTCTCATAAGCATAATTTTTACTCACTCTGCCTAGAGTATTATTGTACTTCATTTGTCTGAAACTAAAAGTTCTCAGAAAAAGTTACATTTTTTAAAACATTAAATATTTTTAGATTGCAACTGAACTGATTGAAAATAGTCACTTCTGTTAGGTGTTATGTTCATGCTATCTGAAAAGCAGATGCTTGGCCAATTGCAAGATTTAATTTACCTTCTGTATATTAAGTACTGATTCTTGGAACCTTGTCTTTCATTACAAAAATGACAGTATTTAGCGAATGTTTTGAGCAGTCAACAATTTGGATCATGCATCTTCTGTTATTTGGTACTGTATTGTCATACTTTATTTTCAAAATAATTCTTAAATTCTTTCATATTACATTTTTCTGTATGTAATTAAGAACAAAGATTTAAATATGTTTTTTGAAAATAAATGATACTAAAGGCAATCATTTAAAAATTATTTCCATCTCAATGCAATCATTTTGAGTCAGTGGCTTATATAATACAAAAAAATTAAACTTATGACTTAATTTATAACTATGGCTCAATTACAAAACCATTATTTCACAGACATCTGCCTGAACCTATATTATTTCTAGTACTAGTATATTCGTTGTTTAAAAGAAAGGTTATGTAAGATTTCAGTAGCCTATCATATATGAAATTTCAGATATCCTATTACATAATTAAGTCTAGAATTCAGTTTATAGCTTTTGTTATTTTTTTCTTCTCCCTGGTGGAAATCTTGTAAAGATGTTGCTTTTCCCCACCCCGTCAGAAAAGAAAGCCTTGAATTCTTTTCTGCAAATTATTTTAAAACATAAGCCATATAACGGAAAATACAATAACTCGGTGCAAGGTTTGTAGAAAAAGTCCGGAGCATCTATGGATAGGAATAGGAAAAAAATGTCGCAATCAGTGAGCTAAATCGGCCGGTTACGTGAGTCAGTAGAATGCAGCCTTACAATACTGTTAAGACTTATTAAGTTCTTTTAAAGTTACCACCTAAATTTCCTTCGTTATGCAGTCCTTCAAACTGGAATAACCATTCGACCGTCGGAGATTTGTTCGTTTGTTTCCGTCTTCTGACGTGGTTTGTGGCAGAGGACTGACCCTGACTTGCAAGCAGGAACCTGCTTCCGCCTCTTGTTGGACCCAGCCGAGTGAGCCGCGCTCCACCTTCAAGCGCGGAGGCGGAAGCATTGCGGTCAAAAGCCGGGCGAAAGTTTAAGCTCTGCCCTGCGGGAGGGAGGAAGGGAGGGAGGGAGGGAGGACCGCGCCGGGCAAACCAGAATTGAGCTGGCAAAGGAGGAAACGGAGAGAGCCCTGTCAGACAGGTGGGCGAGCGAGCGAGAGAGAGCTGGGTCTCCCTGTTGGATCGCATCGCTTCGTGTGGGAGCCGCGACAGGTAGCTCTGGGGCGCCGGGGTCGTTGAGGGAGGAGGAAGAAGCCGAGGAGCACATTGAGACGTAAGCCCGGAGCTTGACTTGTGTGGAAGCTTGCTGTTCGTTTGTAGTGGTAGAACCTCTGGGAGGCCTCTAAGGCAGTGTTTCTCAACCTTGACCATTTTAAGGCATGTGGACTTCAACTCCCAGAATTCCACAGCCAGCATTGCTGGCTGTGGAATTCTGGGAGTTGAAGTCCACATGCCTTAAAATGGTCAAGGTTGAGAAACACTGCTCTAAGGGATTTTGTGGAAGGGTTTGCGTGTCTGTTTTCTAGGTGTGACTGCTGGACACTTCAGATGCACTCGGGTCTGCATACCTCTCAGGAGCTTACCACTGGGTTGGATTAGTGGACGTTTGGCTGTCTTTCCGGACCAAGTAATCCAACAAGGAACAGGCTTAGTTCTGGCCATCGTGGAGGTGATGGAAGGACTGCAACCTGTAGACTGTTTGATTGCAGGGTGCTTATGAGATACAGCGGAGCCATCGCTGAACAAATGAAGTGTTACTGTGCTTAACAAATAAGGTTCTCAATACCTATAAAAAATGTATATTGTATTAAGAAGCAGAATGGGTGCACCCTACCAAAGTGACAGTATAGTCTGTACTGGTAATCTCTTCTAATATTAGAATACTGTAGTAGTCCATCAAATGTTAAAATGGGTTTTATGTTATCCAGGCATAATATAAAAGTTTCTGATAAGTTTAATACATATAGTACAGAGAATGTGGCAATTTAATAAATTGTGGATTATTGTTTGTGTAATATATATGTAATATATGTTTTATATGTTTGTTAACCAATTAATACATATTTAATTGTGCTTAGATCTGGAAAGAAAGAAACTTTTAGTAAAAGTTGTAAGACGTATGAGGTAATATGAAGAGGATAAATGTATGCATGCTGTTAATAATGGTTTTAGTTCCTATAATGATTACTTGTAGAAAAAGGATATTTTCCCTTTGCTAAGTTAAATTTTGGGAAGATGGTGATTAGGTTAAAAAAATTATGAGATAAAAAGTATTGAAAAGCAGAAATATTGGGTGTTTCTAGTTTGTAATTTTAGATCACATTGCTCAAAGTACTATTGATTATCAAATTTTCTTTTGTAGAAAAAAATAAGATTATATGAAAATAGATGCTTCATTTAAAATATTGTTTGCAAAGAAAGAATGATTACAGGTAGTCCTCAATTTATGAACACGATTGGACCTAAAATTGCCAAGTTGCCAAGTGAGACACTTGTTAAACGGGTTTTGCCCCATTTTACAACTTTTCCTGCCACGGTTAAGTGAAACACTGAAGTTAGTAACACAGTTGTTAAGTGAATCTGGTTTCCCCCATTGACTTTGCTTGATAGAAGATGGCAAAATGTGACCACGTGATCCTGGGACACTGCAACCATCATAAATATGAGTCAGTTGTCAAGTGTCTGAATTTTGATCATGTCACCATGGGGATGCTGCAATGGTCATAATGTGAAAAACAGTCGTAAGTCTTTTTTTTAGTGCTGCTGTAACTTTGAAAAGCGAACTGTTGTAAGTCAAAGACTTGTATTGTATTGAGAGTTCATTTGTAATAATATTAAGGACAGCATCCCATCAAAGAAAACTGGAATGTACTTAAATGTAGAATTGGATCATTTGTAGTATAACTAGATACTACATATAACTTGATTCCCCTTTTACAATTGGTGAATCATTAAGATAAACAATGCTTTCTTTTTTCTCTGATTTAAGTAAACAAAGCACCTGGGTGTGTTTATGCCAGCAAAGTACAGTTTTATAGTGATAGGCTTTTGTAATTTAAATTTGCAATTACTTTTGTTTTGTATGCAGTAAAAACAAAATATTTTACATAGCTAAATAATTTTTAAAATGGAAGGTTTGGATCAATTAGGAAACATGAATATAAAAATGGTACTGACTAAAACATCTGTAAGCATGTTAGAACTAAAAGTTGGAGGCATCTTCAATCTAAACACTATTCTAAATTTTTGTGAACTTCTTTTTTAGTATATCTTTACCTGAAGATTTTAAGAAAGTGTGGAAGCCTGGAATAAGAAATCATTTGTATTGCCAATGTGTGAAGCAGGCCTAATGCATAAAAAACTGTGTGATGCCTTGGAAGGTGAAGATGACATGATATATGGAGATTTGGGAAATGGATTTAAAAAACATAATGGTATTTATGAATCAGAAGTCTTTCACAAATATACAGCTAGGTCTAGAAGCGGTTCTGCAAGGAAGAGTTTGCCAAGTGATGGTGAAGAATATGATGCAGGTTTTTTTCGTTGCTCAAAATGTGACAGTTTGAATGATGTGCCAGTCAAAACAATCGGAAGGAATGGATTTGCTCCTTGCAAACAACAAGCCAGTTCTGGTAAGTCTTTTAACAATGCTATTAAGTGATAAGTCTAAAGTTTTACAGAATTAATATTGGTAAATGTTTTGATCCTAAATGCAAACATAAGTCCAGAAATTCCATTTATCAGACCATCTTGATTAAAGATGGTGACTGGAAATTTAATTTCAATTCTTCAGGTTATATATGTTCAAAGAAAAATAAATAATACATTAAGTCTCAGAAATAATTTTGATCTAAGTGCATGTTTTCAAACAACAGTACCATTTTGCCTTATACTGATGCTGCGATAGTGGATTATAAATATTTGGTCCTGCAACATTTTATATGAGCACAGGAGTACACAAAGCAGTTTTATTTTGGCTAAAAATACAATTAAATACTATTTCAATGCATTTGAAATTTAATGAATTTGTACCTTTAAAAGAGATGTCTCTAGGACAGAGATGGCGAACCTTTTAGAGACCGAGTGCCCAAAACCCACTTATTTATCGCAAAGTGCCAGGGGCCCATCAGCATTGTGGTGCCCTCAGGGGGGGCAGGGAAGCACCTCTGAGTGCCGCCTCTGGCACGCAAAAACTAGGGGCGCAAAAATGGGCCACCGTTCTGCAAGGTGCAAAAACGGCCGCCGTGCCGTGGGGTGCAGATACAAGGCACTGCACCACGCAAGTGAGTATCATGCAGGCACTAGCCTGTCTCATTTGCAGCGTGTGCATGCTCGCGGCCCTGTTCACCCACGCACGCATGTAAAATGCTTCCCCCTCCCTTTTCTTCCAGTCCGTCAACCGACAATGGTTGGTGACCTCTGCTCTACCACCTCTACTCAACCTTGCAAATTGGCCACTTTGCCTCCTTTTTTCTGGGCGGGGCTCCTGTTCCGGGCAGTGGTGGTGGCCTGATGGACCTGCTGCTGGCGGTGGCGGCGGCGCGTGTGCCAACAGAGAAGGCTCTGAGTGCCACCTCTGGCACGCGTGCCATAGGTTCGCCATCACTGCTCTAGGACAATTTTCCCAGGGGAACATTTGGCTGGGACAGTGCTAAAAACATAGAGAGGCTTAAAGAGGGGAGGGATAACAGTCCTTCTTTATAAACTCATGCAAATTTACAAGTAACTGCATAGAGCAGCAAACTATTTGGATTTACAATAGCCAAGTATTTGATTGGATATAGCACAACATGTATCTACAGGACTGAGGTCAGTGAGTCAATTAGGATGTAATTAGAGGTAATGGGGCAGGAATACAAAGACAATACTAGTTTTGAAAAACAAAGAGGCAGTATTCCATGAACAGTTTCTCTCTGGGGAGTTATTTTCTTTTGATTTCGCAGATCTTTACTTGCTTTTTCCTAGTTTATCAGCACTTCTTGGTCTTCTAAATGTTTTATGGTTGAGCTGACAATTTAGTTTCCCTGAGAAGGTATATTTAGATAAGTTTTCAGCTTGACCTCCTCCAAGTTATCCTTCCTGGCAATGGATCATAAGAGAGGAAATAGTAATAAAAAATGTAATGAAGTGATAAAGACTGGCATGTCAGTGGGCAATTTCTTTTTACTGTCTCAACCAGTTAGATGCAAAACTCCAAAAAATATGGACAAATTTGTAAATTCTAAGCACCAAGGAGTTAATGCTGTCTATGTGTATCTACAGTATAGATTTGGATGATACCGTGAATAGGCCTGTTCGGACAGTTACAATGTTAGTCAGGGAAATAATTTTGCCTGATCCATAATTTGGAAATTTACGTTTTCCTAGTACTGCACTCAATATTTCCAGATTTTTGGAAAAAATATTGTTTTTTTCTGCATGATAAATAGGGTTTTGTATGAACTGTAGTCATGCAAATTTTACAGGCAGTTATTTTGAAATGCACCGATTTTAAGCGTTGCTTTTTAAATCTTAATATTTATTTCAGGTTCAAAGTTTAAGAACTGACTGTTACGCTATTATTTTAATATTAAAATAAATCTAGGAATATTGGTTTGAAGCATTAAAATGCGTATGTCCTTTGTGTTTGATCTTAGTTTTTATTACAATGACAATATTGCTGCCAGCAAATTTTATCAGTTACAATAAGCAAGTATTTCTACCCTCTACTGTTATTTTATTATGTCTTTTACTCAGTATTTTTTCTGCCATCTGAAACAATTAAGCAGGATAATGTTTTCCTCCCAACTACTAATTGTTATCCACTTTAATAAAGCTAAATATAACTGGTGTCTTTAAACAAAGACATACAAACAATTTGTTTTCTGTTGTAATTCAGAGTTCAATTCTGAGGCATCAAATGAAGAATTAAAACAACGTCTCCAAGGAATTTTAGAGGTAGGTACCACTACTATATTAGTTTACTATAATTTTGAATCTCACTATTTTCAATGCATACACACATGCACACAACGCGCGCACACACAGAGAGCATCATGTTTAGTTTTGGGAGTTTAATCTGGAAGCAAAAAAAATTAAATAGTTGTGATTTATAAATTAATAATTTAATTTTAAATATTTTTAAATTAAATATTTAGATTAATTTAAATATTCAGATGCCTCTAATAGTTTCCTTTCCTTAGACATGAAAAAATATCTTCCTCTTCTCCCTACTTCTCTCTAAGAAATAGAAAATGAAAGTAAAGTTAAAGTTGCGGTAAAGTTAAAAGATAGTCATGATTTTATAATGTATAAATTTAAATAGAACTATTGTGGGTATTATTTTTAAAATAAGTCATAAAGTTAGAAATGTATGTAAAAATTTTTTATATTTGGATAGTAATTCATATTTAATTTTACTGACATGACAGATCTATGGTGTTTTCTGCTTCCTAAAGTGCATCTATTGACTTGTGTGTATTGTTATAACATATAATAGCATACTGTATTATGTGATAAGTGACTTGAAACATAAAGTTTGTTTCAAGCTGGCAATAGCTGGTGTTGGATCTTCCTTATAGAAAACATTCTTTTAATTTTCCTTCCACTTCTTCTGATAATTGAAACTTCCCAACTGCTTCATAAAAGGAGTTACACCATGCAAGTATCCCATATTATTTTTGGGGTTGTTCACAGTTTCAAGCTGAATCCACATTTTTTTTCATTTTCGCCTTTAATGACATGGAAAACCCCCTGTATTCCAGATATTGGTGGCCTACAAAGAATATTTTTGTATAATAAAATGTAATCATTTTTGGATATGGTTTAGGACTAGATTATGAATGCACCAGGAACTGACCATTTTGGAGGACTACAGAAAACCATTTTGAGTTAATAGCACATATTGATTTGTTACTATAGTTACGTGCCATTATTTTTTGGGGACTTTTATGATTCTTGATTTTTATGGTTGTATTTGTGATTATAAGCAGGAGGCATTTTTATGTTTCTTAGAGTAGTAATGATTGCAGTAATACAACTTTTAATTAATAATTAATAAAATTGTTAATATTAATTTAATTAATAAAAATTAAATCCCACAATTAAAAGTAACTTTCACAAATGTAAAGGACTCCATACTTTATACCTAGTTTTTTATTGACCAATCTTATTTTTTTTTTCTTCCTAGGAAGTAGAAAATTTAAGAGTGGAATTGGAAGCATCTCAAAGACAACTTGAAGGCAAAGAACAAGCTTTAAAAGTTCTGCAGAGCATGGTAAATTAAACAAAAGTTCAAAATGTTTTAACAATTAGATTAGTATTTATAACTAATATGTAATACTACTGTAACAGTACTTTAGAGTTTATTTTCTTTATATGAGGATGATACATTTTTAATATATTATGTCAAAACTACATAAAAATAACTGTTATATGTATGATCCACTCATACTCATATACCTTGCAGAGAGGTATACTTAAAGGAGTGGATTCTTCCTAATGCTTGCTTCATTTATATCTAATTTTACTCCTAAGGTTTTAAAACTGTCCCTCAGACAGAAAAATGGTGCCCCGGGAGGGTGGGACAATAGTTCTGAATGTCAGCTTACAAGCTCTGCCTTTTCCATTATACCTTAGAAAAATTGCTACGAACACCCCTTAGAGCCTGCTTTGGTTATTTTTTGTTCTTAGTCTTTTATCAAACCTAATCAAGTTCTTGAAAACGCTAGGATTTTGGTAGAATACAATTTGAAAAACCCTGATGTAGAGCAGGCTAGGCAATCTTTTGGGGACAGTGAAAACATCTGGAATTTTTGGATTATATTTTTGTTGCTATCATAAATAACTCTCATAGAGAGGCATAGATAGTCACAAAGCACACATTTACCAGAAAACAAATTAGTGATATCCCTAGTTTTTATTTTTTGATACACTTGGACTTTTACAATCTCTGGCATCTGCCCTTCCCATCTGTTTGTTTTATTTTTTTCTGATAATACTTTTTCTTTCAAAGCAAGAAGTGTATTCTTGCTCTTTATATAGTCTGTAATATTACACTAGCAACAGCCATATATACAAATTGTTTTATGGTAGACCAACAGATTTTGTTGATTGTCTTAACTTATATGCACTGATTTCACATTTAAGACGATCTGATATTGAATATTTCCAATTTTTGTTTTACATATTTCTCAGGCTGTTTTGGACAAAGCTACCACTCACACTAAAGCAATATTTATAAAAACAGACCAACAAAAGCGAGCCTTAGAAAAGGTAAGAATGTATCTAATACTGTTCCTAGAAAGAAGAAAAAGAGTAGAAATGTGGTATTTCATGAGATGGTAACATGAAATTACAAACCAACCCAGGTTAGGTATGCTTAAGTCCATTTATTTTACTGTGCTGGTATTGTTCTGTAGCCATTGACTGCACTGAATGCTCTGATGTACTTGGCTGAGGAATTCTGGGAGTTGAAGTCCACAAGTCATAAAAGGGCCAAGTTTGAAGACCCCTGAATTAACATTTCCTCTGTTAGTAGATCTTCATTTTTCCAATATTAAGGGAATACAATTCTTTCTGCAGTTAATATAGGTAAAATTAAATATATATACTCTTTCTCATAATTTTCTACAATTATGCCTAACAAAAATAATTCTGGCTTAAACTCTATATGTTTTTTCATCATTTTCTCTAACCATGTATATATTCTTATCCAAAATCTTTTGGCTTTAGAGCATGTCCATCAAAGATGGTAATAAGTGCCTGGTTTTTGTTTACATTTCCGACAATTGCTTGATGTGTTTTAAACATTTTTGTTAACCTCACAGGTGTTAGATGCCATCTATAGAACATTTTATATAAATTTTCTTTGTACGCAACCACTTTTGTTATTTTAGAATTTTTTCCCCAAGGGCTTTGCCATTTTTCTAGTTCTATATTATGTCCATCTTTAAACTTAGCATATATTTATAAAGTTTCTTAATCAATTTTTCATCTGATGTCAGTAATATCTTATCAAATTCTGTCTGGTCTTTATAAAATCCAGATATTTTAACATCTTTTTCATATCTCGTTTGGATTTGCAGGTATGGCCATCATGATACCCTGTTCTTCTAGTTCTTGTCTATGTTTTAATTTTCCTTCTTTATTCAAAATGCCTTTATAAGTCACAATTTTCTCATAGTTTGTTAGATTTGGGTGAACAAATGCTTTCATTGTTGAGAGCCATCCAGGTATTTTCATATAGATTTTCGCTTTTATTTTTTCCCATTCTAGCAAAAGTGCATTTCTTATGTAATGATATTGAAAGTATCTGTGAATTTTATTTTTCACGTACCATAGAAAGGCATGCCATCCAAGTTGTAGGTCATGTCCCTTTAGGTATAGTAATCTTCTATCTCTAAGAGTTATCCACTCTTTTAGCCATGTTAGAACGGTTGCTTGGTAATATAGAGTCCCGTCTGGCAGTCCAAATCCTCCATTTTCTTTCGCTTCTTGAAGCATTTTCAATCTTATTCTAGCTTTTTTTCCTTGCCAAATAAATTTGAGTATTAATTTGTTTAGTTCATCAAAGAAGTTTTCCCCCAATTTTATAGGTATTGTTTGAAACAAAAAAAGTATTTTTGGTAGAATATTCATCTTCACTGTTGCTATTCTCCCCAGCATTGAAAGTTGTAGGTTTTTCCATTTGTCCAGGTCTAGTTTTATTTGTTTTAATAGTTTTATGTAGTTGTATTCTTTTATTGTTGCACATCTTGCTGTTAAGTAGATTCCCAAGAATTTAATTTTTAGACTATTTGAAGACCTGTTCTTTCCAATAATAGATTTTTTTGTTTTTCTGTAAGGTTTTTAGTTAACACTTTAGTCTTTTCTCTATTTATTTTCAGACTTGCCACTTCTCCAAATTTTTCTATCTTTTTCATAAGCTTAAAGCTTGTCTCAAGAGGCTCTTCTAATATAAAGACTAAATCATCTGCAAATGCTTGTAATTCGTATTTTTCATTTTTTATTTCCAGTCCTTTAATTTCCATAACTTGCCTAATATTTCTATTTAATACCCCCAATGTTAGTATAAATAGCAATGGAGATAGTGGACACCCTTGTCTCGTGCCTTTTTTAATATTGAAATTTTCTGAATAATCTCCATTTACGATTACTTTAGCTGTTTGTCTGTAATAAATTGTTTTGATTATATTTATAAAGTTTTTTCCAAAGTCCATTTCATCTAGTTGTTGAAACATAAATTGCCAATTTACGTTGTCAAAAGCCTTCTGTGCATCTAGAAATATTAGCACCATCTGTTTCCCTTGGTGAAGTTCATAGTATTCCAAAATGTCTAGAATAATTCTTAGGTTATTTTTTATTTGTCTTTTAGGTAGGAATCCATTTTGATCTGTATATATAAATTCAGTCAAAAATTTCTTTAGTCTTTCTGCTATTATTGAAGCAAAAATTTTGTAGTCCACGTTTAATAAAGATATTGGTCTGTAATTCTTTATTTGCGTCAGGTCTGAGTCTTCTTTGGGTGTTAAAGTGATATTAGCTTCTGTCCATGTATTTGGCATTTTAGCCTTTAAAAGTACTTCATTACAAAGTTCTTTCATTATTGAACTTAAAGTGTCTTGTAGAGATTTATAAAACTATGTGGGTAGTCCGTCTGGGCCTGGAGTCTTACCCTTTTTTTGTCTTTTTATAGCCTCTGTCATCTCCATCATTGATATTTTTTCATTTAAAATATTTTGTATATTCTCTGGAATTTTTAGTAAATCCGCTTTTTTAATATAGTGATTTATTTTTTCTTGTGGGGTTTCCTCTGTATTCTAAAATGTCTCATAAAAGTCTTTAATTATTTTTTTAATTGTGTCATTTTGAAACTTTAAATCTCCTTTTGAGTCTTGTAGTTTATTTATCACTTTTTTATCTCTTTCTTTTTTCAGTTTATATGATAGCCACCTCCCCGGTTTATTAGCATTTTCAAAAAAATTCTGTTTGGCCCTTTTAATTTGTTGCGCCATATTTTTCAGCCTCTGCTAAATTTGTTTTATGTTTTATTAGTTCCATTTGTTTTTTAAGTATTTTCTTTTGTAGGTCAAGTCATAAACTTGGTTTAGACCAAGTTTGATCTAATATTCTCCAAAAATAATATAAAATAATATAAAATAATATAAAAAGAAGAAAAAATTTAAAACTCCCCAAACATTTCTTTTTTCTGTTTCTCTCTGTTATATCTGCAGTGATGTTGTAAACTTCTCTGTTTCCTCCAAAACACTTAAATCGCCGTCTTTCTCTTACTCTGGAAAATTGCTTTCGGATGTTTTTTTTCCCAGAACAAGTTTTCATATCGTAGATAAAAAAGGAAAATAGTCTCACCCCAGTCCAAAATGTTGCTCACGCTTGTTTTGAATCGCTTTTTCTCCCGGCTGTCAGCAGCTTCCGACTAGCTGCATAGATGGAGCCAGTCTTTCTCCTGCCATTCTGGAGGGCTCCTTGGATCAAGCGAGTCAGCTACCGCCTTCCTGCGATCTACAAGAGTCCCCTCTTGGTCTGTCACATGTAAATGGTGACTTTTGGTCCTTTTTGGACCCACAGCAGGCTGAAATCGAGCTTGGGAATCAGAGCCCTGATTCCCTATGCCCGCCTCACTGCAGCAATGAAACCGGAAGTCTGATGTACTTTTGATTATGTTGTGTTTTAACATATTACAGCCCAGATCTTTCTATTTATATACTTTGGTGAACCTATTACAAGCAGAGGATTGATAAACACATCCAACTTACCACAGTGTGAACCCTGCTAATCATTTGTTGGCATAGCTTCCATCTCATAGTTGGTGTTCTTAAAACAGGCTGAAATCATTCTAAAGTGTTCTAGTGTGAAAGTAGTGTCTTCCCTATTACTCAACACATGACCTCCCGTGCACACATTCTAGGTATATGGAGAAGGAGACTTTAGAGGACATGTTCAGGAACATCTAATCTGTTTAGCTTCCATTATGGCAGGTATTTTCTTGGACTGCCCTCTCCTCTGCAGATTGCTGGACTCTGTATGTCCATGATCTTTTTGGCTATAGTAGTGAGAAAGATTGGACATCTTATTTGAGCAGACTAATGTTTCTTTTGAGAGCTTTAGACGTGGGAGTATAGTTCTCATCAAAGAGGTCCAAGTGATGAATACTGTCATTAAAAGATTCTGTAGAACTGTCAAATATAAGAAGGGAAATTATGTGTATCCAACTATTTGAAAAAATCAGAATTTAGGAAGGAATCCCTGGCAAGTTGATCAGCTGAAATCTAGCAAGTCAGAAGAACCTGAGCTATGTGCTGGATCATATATAAGAAGTATTGAACTGACTCTGGTTGCAGAGGCCATGAATCCTTGGCTGAATATTGTCTGTCATCTAGAAGAGTCTGAACCAGATAAGATTTCTTCACCAATTGATGTGTAGTCTGGCATCAGCCAGAAGCAATGATTACTAGGTTTAAAGAAGTCTGAAATCTATAATTCTTTGTTATTATTAAAAATGACAGTTGGAAGACCAAAGCTGCATTGCCACATATTCAGGACAGCAGTTGGCAGTTGAGTTTCCTAGTGGTAGATGAAACTGAGTAAGAGAGGAAAGGATGACTATGAATTCAGCAGCTGCCTAAAAAGTATGTTGCGTTACAATGTGAGTAATCAGCCTGGTTACTGAAGTGAATAAAGGTAGGCTGAAGGGGCTGCCCTTTTTAACCCTCAATGGGGTTTCCTCCTAAGTCAAAGGCAAGATGAAAGCACATTATTGTGGCTGTGAGGAAGAGTCCAAAGGTAAGTGTAGATAATTCTCTAAACTTAAATATGCTTTTTCCCCCCCAGTAATGTACGTGGGGACTCAATTTAAGCTCATACATCAGGGATTTGGTTTGTTAGTCCACGTAGTTAATTGCTGTAGGACAATGTAATCCAGAGAATGCATTAGTTTTTTTTAATGGAAACAAGATATTTTTTACTAAACATTTTTGCCTTTTGTCATAATTAACTACGATTATTGAGGCAACATCCATATATAATTTTGATGCTACTTTGGAACCAGCTGTGCACTTATACAAGCTCAGTTGGTTTCGAGAGTGAAAACATTTTTTTTTCTGGCTCTGCTGTAGTTTATTTAAAACTGGAGTAAAACTACTGTTTTCTTTGCAGCATTCATCTCATCTTGTGGGTGATCTGTTTTCTTATTGACAGAAATGTTGACTTCTGGACACCCATCAGTTTTTTGTTGTGCCTGCCTACATGAATTTTTTCACTTCCCCATTCTAGCCTCCACAGAAGTATGCCACAGAAAATGAGAGTGGCAAAATAAATAGCACACTATCATTTTACCACAAGAGACTCTGAAATGCAGGAGGGAGACCAATTTTGTGGTTGGAAGCTTTTTTCATAGCAACTGTTCTGAACTTTTTGCAAAGATCCAGACAAATGCATGCAACCTGAATTACACAGGAGGAAAGAGGAATGTTAGTTATTTATTTTAGTTCTTTTTAAATAGAGTTGGGGTATGGGAGGATTTTTGTTACTGAAGAACTGGCAGCAGATTTGGCACCAATTTAATTATACTTTAGTGAGCCGAAGAGAACACAGCAGATAAGATTGTATTGATCTCTGCACATTTACAGCATTTTCCAGTTGGCAAACACAAAGATGAAGGATTTAAATGAGAGGAAGTGTCTGGATTCAGCAATTTTAAACTTATTGTATTGAATAATGTAATGTTATTAAGGAATTGTCAAAAAGTTTAAATATTTTAAAGAGCAATTGAGATTGCCTTAGGAATCATAATGGGAGAAAATGACCACATAATTAGAAAAATGTAGAATTTTTTTTGCAGTTTGCTTGTTCTGCCTGGCAATTGGCTGTAGTAAAAACATTCCAAACATCTTCTGTTGTGCATTAATATTCTTTTCTTGCAAAGCAAAAACAGTACATTATCCTAAATAATACATATTTGAGATAACCAAATCCAGTTTTACTAACAGTGTAGGGTTTAAAATATGAACAATATTCTTTTATGTTTATAGGAAATAAATATTCTGCAGTGGGAGATCAGAATTAATCAGGAGAAATTAAAAAATATAGACGAGACCTGGGCAGAGAAATATGAAAGGTAAATTAAAGTATGTTCTTTTAATCATCCAGTAGGCAGAAACATGTTAAAGGTGTGACTGAAATATGTTATTTCCATGTCAACAGAATTTATTGTGAAAATGCTGCTTTTAAAGAAACTCTTAAAATGAAAACTGAGGAAATTAAACTACTGAAGTCTGAAAATCAACGTAAGTAAGCTCTACTTTTTCAGTATTTTCTTTGAATCACTTGGCTTTGATGTAGGTGGTTAACATCTAAAAAAGTATTGGCAAATCTGCGTCCAATTTAATATTATGCTCTGCTAAACACTTGAAGCATGTTTGTAATTCAGAGATGTCCAATGGTAGACTGGTCACAGATGAATGCTCAGTCAATACTGTCATGTTGCTTTTGAACAGAAAGTAAAGCATATCTTATAATACGATGTTTAAAGATTAAAATGTTATTAAAATCATTATTACACAAAGTTAACCCCTATGAAACTAAGTGAATTTCATTAACATAATGAGAGAAATAGGTATAAATCTCTTTGTATTTCTATTCTATCTTTGCTCCAAGAAGCTTAGTGCAGTATACATAATACTCTTTTTTCAATTTTATTCTGATAAGAATAATGTTATAAATTATATTACATAGAACGGTAGTTTTTGGTTCAAATTACCCCAGTAAGTTTCATGGCTGAGAATGGGTTAGAGATTGAGTGTTCATGGACCTATCCAAGTCTCTAGTAAATACGGTATACCACTCTGAAGTCAAGTTCGGATAATTATTTGAAGTAAAGCCTGTGGCTTAACAAGCAAGTAGAATTATTATCCAGGGGATCACAGCTTTTTTGAGGCAGTAAGCAAATTTGAAATTCTGGTATCATGTTTTAGACACTTCCACAAAAGAAGTGTCATGGTGGGCAAGACCAGTGAACCCTCTCCCCACACAACTTGATTTATCAGAAGGCAAATAGATAATTTTGTTCCAATGACACACCATCTAGTTTCACAAAATGCTTTCTATTGACTCATATTATCAGATTTTTTTAGTAGGCATACTTTCAAATAAAACAGCGAGTTGCAATTTTATATCCTTTTATTGTCTAAGAATACCTTTGGGATATATACAGCAGCATTCTTGGAATGTAAAGATTATGCCTGGTTGCATGCTTTATTTATATCATGCCTTTATTATTATTATAAAAATTCAACGCAGTGAATATATTAATACTCCTTCCTCTTCCTATTTTTCCCACAACATGCACCCTGGGAATTGAGTTTGGCTGAGAAAAAGTGAGTGGCCTAAAGTTACCCACTCAGCTTTTATGTCTAAAGTGGACTAGAACTCACAGTCTCCTGGTTTCTAGCCTGGTATCTTAATCATTAGACCAAATTGGCTAATAGGAGAAAGTTGAACTTCTCCAATCATTAGTCTTAGGCTATACCTTCATGCACTACTGGCTTTCATAGTGTGCATTGATATAATACTGACTTTATAGGAAAAGGCTTAATAGAACAATCTCTATATTCTTTCTATAATGTGCAGGCATAACACAAACGATAAACATTTCCCTCCTTGTGTATTTTCATCTAGGTTTGCAAAATGAGAATACTTTCAAGCCAGAAAATTCATCCTTAGACTCGAGAAATGAAAGTTCTAATTTTTAGATTTTTTAGATAAGCCATGTAAGCTTATCTAAATAAACTTTCTTTCAAACTTTTTCAGTTTTAGAACAACAGCATTTGGAGATGATGGCAATGCTTGATGTAAAACAGCAGAAGTTGGTTCAGGATAATATGTCTCTAAGCAAGAGTGGCGTTACTGAGGTTACAAGTCTAGAAGTATGTATTTTAAAATGATCTTATTTCTTTTGGCAACATCTTATGACTCATTCTAATGGCTCATACTAAAAGCAAGAAATACACAGATTTATTTTGACATTAGATTTTGGTGCACATAATGATAGAGAAGCTAGCAACTGTGGTTCTCTTTCATGCATTATGAAGCATGTGCACTAATGAGCATTGGGATCTTCTTATCTTCTCCCATGTGGCTAGTAGCAGGAAGATGAAGATTTGATTAACTGAGATAATGTTGTAGCATATGTATCAAGAATTGTCATCCATATAATTAGCCAGCTATTGTTAATCAAAAACAGAAACCAGAAACCACTGAATTCCTTTTTTGAATTGTAAGAAGAGTTGGTGGGAAAAAATGGAACTGAACAATGTTACACCATATTTCAGTAAAATGTGGCTTGGCATGATCTGGGGTAACCAATTTGAAGGTCTCTTCTGCAACATAAAACCTTGCCAAGCAGGAAAGAGCTCTTCTGGATGCACTCTAATTTGATCATAATGTCCATTTAAATAAAAGTGAATGTCCTATTTAAATAAAATCAGTCCATTTAAATAAAAGTGAATGTCCTATTTTACAAAGAAAGCTAAGGAGGAAGGCCAGGAATGCAGAAATAGGGTATTTTTGAGCAATCACACTGATTAATTCATGCAAAGTCAAGATAGAGAATTTGTATATACTTTTAAGCTCCAAATAAACTATTTTAAAGCTAGCAGCATATGCGAAACAGCTGGTGTGTGTATTTGTCAATTTGATCTGGATTTTAAAATGACTGCTGGAATTCATTTGAATTGGAAGTTGGCAGTACTTGGAGCTTGTGCTTGCAATGGCTCTGAAGGAGAACCCTGTGCCTGTGCCAAGATGTCAGCAGCAACTCGAAAGCAACTTCTTCAACTCAAGCAAGAGGTATGTGAGCTTGGGTTAGAAGCATTCTTTTCCTAACATGCCATGTGGAAAAAATGTCAAATGTTGCTGTTGTAAAAATGTAATAGTTAGGGTGCTAATATATCATTATGTTTTTATTTTTTTTTAAACTTACTGACATACTTCAAGCTTTAAGTAGAATAGTTATATAAATAATGGCAGGTTTATGTATTTAAAAATATTTTTCAAATGCTATTTTTTAGATGGGTGACCCGTGAAAATGTAACACATTGAGACTGATGGAAGGAGCTCATCTGGCTTTTTCCCAATTAACAGATTTCCATTCATCTTACCAGTACATCTCCTCCTTTTGTGAAGCAATTTTTAGCCCTCTTTCAGGCTAAAGGATGCTTCCTGCTCAAACTTCTCTGTTCTCCCAGTCACCCAACAGAATTAGTATCAGTTAATACAGCCACAAATTATGCTAAGACACTGTCATCCACTTAATCTCTTTGCCAGAAGAAGCCAGTTCAACTAGTTTTGTAGGAAATGTACCTACCCCTCAGCAATGGACTCCTTGCTCAGCTCTAATTCTTTTCAGAAGGTGGGCTAAGTGAAACTGTCAATATGGGAAGTATAAAGATATTATAGAGATGTACCCCAGATATAGCAAATTCTTTGTTTTCCTAATAATGGTCTTTGTTTTGTTACCTCTGTACTCCACCAAGTTAAATGTTTTAGTTTTACATGATCCTGGTCTTCATTCATAAAATTCATTGTCTTTCTAAGAAAATTAATTAGGAATCAACAGAGAATAGAACTGAAGATAAGAGTGCACAGACACTAGTTAGATCAGTGTTTCTCAACCTTGACAATTTTAAGGCATGTGGACTTCAACTCCCAGAATTCCACAGCCAGCATTGCTGGCTGTGGAATTCTGGGAGTTGAAGTCCACATGCCTTAAAATTGTCAAGGTTGAGAAACACTGAGTTAGATTTAGAAGGTAATTAAGTGTTGAGTAGCAAGCAAATTTTTCTGTTTTCTTGATTTTGTTTTAGAGGGATTTTTTTTTCTAAATATGTTTCCCAGGAAGTGGCTTTCATGAGAGGATTAGTAACTGATATTCATGTTTATTGAAACTATATTATTCAAATGACAATATAAAAATGATTTGTTAAAATGGTCTTGTCTCCTCTATACTGTCAACAGCTTTTTAACAGATTATACTCAAATTCTATATTGATTTCTACTTAAACTGAGGAAGCAATGATCTTACCGTTTTACAATAACCATAGATATGTGGATTTCATTTTTAAAGTGCAATCTAAAATTTATATTAATTGAAAAAAATAATAGTTTGACTGTTTGAAGAAGAGTAAAGAAGAAGCTTATATAATGGCGGATGCCTTCAGAATAGCTTTTGAACAACAACTGATGTGGAGGAAGGACCAGGCTTTCAGACTTGCACAAATGAGTAAGATCTGCAGAAAAGAAACTAAAACAGTAAAGTGGAAAAGCATTAAAGAAGATGGTAATTCTTTCCATTTTATATATATATATATAATTCAGTAATACTGAAAATAACCCCTATTGGGCATATTGTTTATCATTTAAACTTTTGTTTGAAATCATTCCCTTCATTATCCAAATGATTCATGTAACTATCACCAATTTTATTTCAATTTTCTTTACGACAAAAACCTTACCAAGGCCATCTGGAAATATATATCTATTAGTATTCACCCTACTGAGCCTAGCAACAAGGAGACATAATCCAATCAAGAGAGCTAGAGCTGATTGAGTCATGCAGTAATAGTAGTTTATTGATTGATTGGTCTTATGACTTTATCAATAAAATAAAATAAATAAAATACAGTACATAGTCTAATTCTGGAATAAGATAAGATGAAATAGAATGATACAATACATTATGGTAATACAAGGAGTAAATAATGAGATAAATGAATGTCCCTTTTAGGGTACGCCAATTTGTTCAATGCATTGGGTTCTTAGTTATAAACTTAGCCTTAGTTATAAACTTAGCAGTTCTGCATACAATACTGTGGATATAAAAAGTCTATACACCCCTGTTAAAATGCCATGCTTATTTGATATTTTTCTCCCTAGAAGATTTCAGTTTGTTTTTCAATTAAATTGTGCAGCCTGTAGGTTATATTAAAGAAGGAAAATTTTCTGAAGAATTCTGAAAAATATTGGTCTGTTTTTTTTATATATCATATTCTGGCATTTTAATAGGGGTATATAATCTTTTTATATCCACTGTAGGTACATTTGAACCCAGGAAGAAATATGACAACCTGTGATTTGGATACCAATGGGCTGTTCTTTCCAATAGGGATGATGGGGGATCATTATATGCCTAATGGGCATATAATTGAGAGTCGAACAAAATATGAGAAATATTTTCAATGGCTGGGGTTCTGCATATTCAGGTTCTCTCATAATATAGAAAATGGTAGAAGTGTCCATATTTGACCATGGAGTCCAACAATTCAAATCTTGCTCCAGAATAGGCCCTTCTTAAAATTTGTGACAGACTCAGTGATAGGTATTTTTCAGGTTGAAAAATTAGCCAACCAACCTAGGGTCTATTTTTAGCCAATAATTCCATCTTAATTTGAACACTAATATCTAGGACTCTTTGTTTAAAAATTTCCCTTGACTGGGAGGCCATTGAGAATATATACTGGATAGAAAACCCATGTTGTGAAATAATTTTGGAAAGAAGACTGACCCAGAAGTTGAGCTGAATCATACTTATCTGTTCTGTTAAAGCATATTTTGGGAAGTCTGTCAGGGTTCATTGAATAGGTCCTCTGCCAATATGTAAAAATTTTAATTATTAAATGGCTGTATAAGGAATGGATTCCTGTTTCCACATGCGCTGCAGAGGTAGATGTGTTCTTGATTCTCATATACATGTCATCTGATTATTTAAGGATCTACTAACAACAGATTTGATGGAGAGGCATCCCAAATAGAATAGCATAAGTATAACTTACCTCAAAAGATAGCAAATTAATTCACATAGCATGCCAAACTGTAGGTTAACTATCAGGATATGTCTCAGAATTATGAATGTCAACTATTGTTCTCTAGCATTAGTGTAGTTATAGCAGCCTCTTTTGCCTGCTACAACTTTTGTCTAGTCCTGCTTAAGCACTGTGGTAGATATGGCAAGTGATGTTATCTATTAGGCCTTAGTAGAAGTTTTTAAGTCTTTGTGTTGGCTTGTGGATGATTAAAGAATAAAATGGTGCCCTACTCCAGATGATTCATAATTTCTTATTAGCCAGATAATAGGATTGGGGAGATGTTTACAAATATAGCATCGAGAGATGGAGAGATAGTGTACATAATCTAAGTGACTTGCAAAAGATTCATCTAAGTCAGAGATTCTTAATTTGGTGATAGATTTTGAGGTCTGCAAACTTTATACCTTTATTTTCACTAATTTTTAAATGAAATGTAGTCACAAAAGAGTCCATAGATTTCACCAGACTTTTGAAGGGACACAAAAAGATTAAGAACCATGATATAAGTGATTGTTAAGAAGGTCTTGATTTCATCAAGATAAGTTCTTCCTTGTTCAATGCACATACAAACTTATGTGTTTTAAATTCCTTGTAGTCACCTAAAGTCACATTGTTCAGATAGGCATCTATATAAATAGGTATATAAAGTTTTCAATATCTAGATTGTTTTTATGTGATACCATATCTACCCCCATATTTTTTTTTCTTGGTGTTTCCTTGTTTCAAGAAAAAAGAAAAAGCTTGGGAGAAAAGCTGATGGGCATGCTTGCTTCTGGCCCTGAGAGTAAAAAAGTAGAAGAACTGGACAATCCACTGGAGATCATTAGGACACTAACAGACCTGGTTGGTATCTCTTACCTGGTTTCAGTGTCTATATTAATAGTATTATATGCGGTCTGAAGATAGACAGACTGTTTGACAGCAATATTGATTTTTATTTTCTTTTTATAGCTGAACGATAAGGAGGAAATATTGGCTCATCAAAGGAAGGTTAGTTATATGCTTGCTCGTACATTGGAAGATAAAGAAAGTGCTTTGCACCAAAGGAAAGAAAATACATTGTCAGAGGAAAAGGTTACTTTTAAGAACAATCAGTACACAAAAGAGTTAAAACCCCAAGAATGGATTTTTCCTGAATGTTCGTGTTGTCAAACGTATACTGTTCAGGACAGCTTTTCTTCTTCGGTTCCCAATACAAACTCCAGCAGTATGCCAAGTTCTCATTCCACAGGATCTAAAGAAAATAATCATCACAACTTCAAAGAGACAGTGACTATGAAATAAGATACTGGGTTTTTTTTAGGAAAATGTAAATCTGTGTGTAAAAACGACAACTTCCTTAACATTTTGTTTCATAATTTAGGACTCTTAAACTCCCTCTGTGCTCCATTGAACATAAGGAACTTTTAAAGGAGCATCTTTAAAGAACTCCTTCATAATTTCCGTATCAGGGACACAGATAAAGACAAATGTAAAAGCTGCTTGTTGATGGAAAGCAGAAGGAAAAGCTGAAAACATGCAAGGGTTTATGCATCTGTGGAACACCTGCAGTGAACTATAATTCAACCTTAATTCAGGAAAGTGTAACCATAAAATCAGGCCATTTTACCATTTAAGTAACTTACAATTTCTGTGTTGAAAATAAGTGAATATATAGTTTATTGTTCATGGATTGTATTCAGAGGTCTCCGTCTGCGAACAGAAGACCTTATTACATTCTTCTAAAGACTTCTTCCAGTTTCTGATCTCACAGAGTGCTTTGCTAGCAGAACCTACAAATCCCCCTTCTACATAATTCTATCATTCTCCTGCTACTGTTTCTGAAAATGTTTTCCGTTTTAAATTCCATTTTCTTCTCTTTTCTAAGCTGGCCCTTTAATTTAGTTCCTTGTCAAGATTGTTTCCATGGGTTAGAAAACATTTTTCTTTATGTGTTCAATGTTTTGCATGCTATTTGCAGCAGAGCACATTTCCTCTTTTTTAAGACCTGTTTTTTTTGCTTTCTTTTTTGAATTAGCTTCTTTTATTGATGCTCTTCCTCACTGACAGAACACTAGAAAGAACTTTTTTCTTAATCAAGGCTTGTTCATAACCTCTTAAACTCCCTCTCCTTGCTCTTTTGTAGTATGAAAACGATACCGTTCACTTTCCATATATAGTTAGACTCCAAGTCCTGTCAATTCCCGACACCACAGACTATATTTTATATGTGATGGAAATTAAGGGTTTCAATTTCCCACTTTTCAATATATCTTATAGTTCTTGTTTCTTTTTAAGTATGAGGGAACATCTTATGATTTGCATTAATCCAATCATTTACTAATTTTTCTGCAACTTTGAATGTTTTTCACTTGGATAAATGACTGGTTTACTGATTTCCATTTCTTCTGGAGCACGTTTTCATAGGGTACAGATACACAAAATTGGTTCCAGTTGCATCTCCCCCTTCTGTTCATGTAGATTGATCAAAAAGAGGACATAATGGGATTCAACCTGATCTACATAAAAATCAATTGCCTTGTGCAGGTATATATTTGAAAGAATGATTTCATGATCAAACAAAACCTTTTGTCTTAGGAAATTGGAGGACTTTTATATATTGATCTAATTAGGAGAAAATATTAATCTGTAGGTATATTAGATTAAGCTATACATGTATAAAAACACTGCATGTGACCATTGCTTCACCAGATCTCCTTATCAGAAAGTTGAAGCTACCTTGTAAATGTGTGTGCAATACAAATTAATGTTGGGTTCACACTGATTATTAAGTGCATTCAGGTTAATACTGCACATATAAATGATTATGTGATGTGATATAAGGTTTCTTTTGCTAAGAATATCAAATGTATGGAAATACAGTGACTATGGAAACACTATTTTTTCTAGTGACTAGCTTCATATATTGCATTAAGCTGTGGTTTACCTTTAGATATATTTTACAGTTTACAACCATACTAACAAGCTTCATATAACATGCTAAGCTACTGCCAATTCACCTCAAACAGATATGTAAGCTCAGCCTTTTTGGGTCATCATTTATTTTTTATTTGGAAGTCTTGCCTATGAATGTTATATGTGTATATTGTCATAATCATTTGAGTGAATCTCTATTGTAATACTTCTTAAATATTTTGTATAATTTGAATAACTTTAACATTATATTTCCCCCCAAAATCTGTAAAACAAGCTATTAGAATGTTTTTGGAGCATGGCCACATCTGAAAATTTTAAATTGTATTATAAATTTAAACTGTATCATAAATTGTCAGTCTGGGGGCTTGCCCAGTCTGGGGGCTTGCCCATTCACAAAATTTCTTCTTGGCAAGCATGACCAAAAATAAATTCTGAGAGACTATTTTCTGCAGATCTTTTATGATATTTCCTATAGCCCTGAAGATATTCCCCTCATCTCACTCTTCAAACTCTATTTCGGAATAAAATGCTAGGGCATATCAACTATTTTAACTTTCTGTGAAAAAGATCCTGAAAATGTAGTATTTTAAGTGTAGCACAATATACCTCAGCTTTCAGTTCAATGGTAACTGAAGGAATCTTCTGAACTGTAAAATTCCTTTTAGATATAACATTCAGATCAAACCCAGCATTAGAAGAGTAATGATCTGACTTCACTGGTGTTTCTAGACCACTGGTGTCAAACTTGATTACGTCATGTGACGTATCATGATGTATTGTGACTTTTTTGCCTTTGTGGAGCCGGGGTGGGTGTGGCCTACACATGATACATCTGGCCCGAGGTACACCAGTTTGACATCCCTATTCTAGACTAATACCTTTTGGGGCCTCTTTCTGTTAATTCCATTATATCTGAGGACAATTTTTTTATCAGTAGCCTTTTCTGTTGAAAGTCAGTAAATTCCTAGCTAAAGAATATTTCTTGGACAAATGGTTCGTTCCTAACCAAAGAAAATTTAAATATATGCCCACAGTTTGGAATTCACACATTATTTTAACATTATGAACTTCTGAAGTTTGAATCCAATAAAAACTTTGATACCTTTAAGTGAACCCTATCTAGGACTCTAATGGATTAGAGAACTTCTGATATACTGACTACAGTATTATAGTATTATAAAAGATGCCGGAACTTACACATCATACAACCCGCCTTGCCTACCCTACAAGGTTCCATCCAAAAAAGGTGCCGGAACTCCGTTCTGGGCGTTCTATGACAAAAAAAGTCCTGGTTTTATCTGGACTGCAGACATTTCAGCTTGATCTGTGCGATTAATATGGCTCTGATAACTATCTGGATATTTTAAAATGAAATTGTCACATTAACCCCAAAAAATTAGAAATAATGTGTATAGCAAGAAGTTGCTTTTACTTGTGCACTCCACAAAGTTTATTTTCAAACATGTATTTCTTTTCATCAACTTTAGTCACGGTTAAGGATTTACACTAACACCAGATAAAAGGATGGAAGCTGTGAAGTGTTTCTGATTTAGATCTCTGAAAAGTGCTCTGGAGAATACAGGAGTGCAAACATAGCACTTATATGCAACACCTTAAAGTAGCTGTCTCTTTTCCCAAATGAGATGAGATGAAGGCAAAGTCATCAGATCATGATAGAAAAGATATTGGCAAGACATCTTTGTGCTGTAGTTAGGCACAAATCAGAAAAAAACACAATATAAGTAAATGGCTACAAATCTTTGGCTATGCTCACACAACATCCTTACCTATGGATGTCAGGCTTTATATACTATAAAAATCAAAAATAGCTACAAAGCCTGAGTTTGTCCAATATTTAAGACTCCAACCTGAGAGAGCTTAATGAGCAGTTTCCTTGGTCATGGACAAAAGTGCTTTATCACTCTTCTTTTAGACTCCCCAGTATAGTGTAGTAGCCCTATCCACATAGCCTCAATCCCCAAACCTGGTCAGTTAGGAACTCAAATGTGGGTGAGGTATTTGTTTCAGTGTTTTGCAAAAACGTCCTATATATGGACTAAATATATTACATGGGATTATGTATTAAGTTATCTCAGGAATTAGTAAAATACTTTGTATAAAGGTATTTTTCTATTTGCTTCATGTTTCAACGTTCCGGACACTTTCCAGTCTATTATGTCTATGGAGATTCTCAGTCATCCAGATCACGGTCGTTCAAAAGGTGTTTCTTCAGAATTGAAGAAGCTTCTTGGATGAAAAGTGAAATGTCTTCAAGGAAAAACAAAGTCAAGTTGCCTTTTGAAAAAGCATCTTTGGGATTTCCAGTCTGTAGGTATTCGTTACTTTGCTCAACAAAACTGCCTAGGTACAGAAGGAACCTTGGATGCGCTAACTAGGTTTTAGGTTAGGAAACGCACTTGTCTTCTCCTGCCGATCCACGATGTAACCCATTTATTATAAAAAAAAAATCGTAATTATTTGGAATGCCCCTAATACCGGGGCTGGCAAATCAGCTCCAAAATTTCTTCCCCCTGCAAACTCTTAAATCCCGTTTCCCAAAAAGTTCGGGAAGCAAGGAAGACAATCGCGTCCGCTCGTCCCAACCGTCCCACCGCAGCCAAGCGCCCGAAACGCAACTCCTCGCGGGAGCAATTAACACCCGAGACTCTCCCGAGCACACCCTCCGGAGGGAGGGGCGGCAAGTCGGAATGAAGAAACTCGCATAGCAACTGCGCAGCCGCAGATGGGTCCATCCCGGAGATTGGTGGCAGACGTCTTCTTCGAGTGGGTGGTGGCCTGGCCGCCTTCCTGCGCGCTTGCGCGGGAGGGCCAGCAACAAGAAGGAGCTCGTCTTCGGGAAAGACTGAAGTCTAGGAAAAGTGCTGCGGGTGCCTTGGCGCCCGGGGCTCGGAGAATGATTTGCAGCCGGCACCCAGGCGCGGAACTAACCCGGATCCGGGGTTGCTCGGAGTAGGTTCGGCTTCCGATCAGACGGAAGGTAAGGAGGGGGCGTGTCCGTCGGAGGTGTCAGTCTTTTAAGAGACTCGCGCACCCCCTTTGTGCCCTTCAGCCGCCTTCGGGGGACGGGAGGAAGGGAGAGCCTGGGAAGGCTGAGCGCCTTTTTCTCTGACGCGTTGCGGGGAGGGCCGGGAGGAGGGATGGTAGAGACCCCGGGCAGCCTCCGCCTTCGTCTGGTGGTATTTTTTTTCCGCCGCGAGTTGAGACGAGGATGAAGCCGCCGCAGTGAGAAGAAAAAGCTGGTTGGCTGCAGCACCAAGAGTGGGGCTGGAAAGCCCGGGCTGTCTGTCCCGATCCTTTCTGAACCCCTCTTTCCGCCTCTCTTCCCTCGAGTAGAACTCCTGTTCTTTCCCTTGTTTTTCTCTGCCCTTTGCTTTTACTTCCTCAAGCGTCCTGTATATAAACCAGTTCCAGCTTTGCTCGGACTTACTCAGTGGGTTAGGCAGCTCTGAGGGATATCCCTCTGTCTATATCAGTGTTTCTCAACCTTGGCAATTTTAAGGCATGTGGACTTCAACTCCCAGAATTCCACAGCCAGCACTGCTGGCTGTGGAATTCTGGGAGTTGAAGTCCACATGCCTTAAAATTGTCAAGGTTGAGAAACACTGGTCTATAGGTACTTGAAAGCCGGACCAAGGATCTCTGGGGCCATATCACAGATGCTCAGTGTCAGTGTAGGGTGATCAGACACAAGATTAAAATAACAGGATAACCTCTTCATATATTTAAGAGCATTCACTTCCTGCAAGGTAATGGAAGTAAGTATAATACATAGGTCAGTGATGGCGAACCTTTTAGAGACCGAGTGCCCAAACTACAACCCAAAACCCACTTATGCATCGTCGGGTGCCGGGTGGGTGTGGCCCATTAGGTGGGCGTGGCTGCGGTGGTAACAGCAGACTGGGTGGGACTAAAAAGTTCAATCGATCAATTCCAACTTTGCAAGATCTTTTTTTTTCCCGCAAGAAGTTGAAATTGACTGATTGATTGAACCTTTTATTTATTTTTTTGCACACGGCGGCGGAGGCCTAAAGCGAAAAGGTTTGATAAAACCCAGCTGAAAGCCTAGGACTGGGGCGATGGCGTGTGTGCCCACAGAGAGGGCTCTGAGTGCCGCCTCTGGCACCCGTGCCATAGGTTCGCCACCACTGACATAGGTCACTTTCCCCCAGTTTCAACTCCTTATTGCGCTATGTTGATTATGGATTGTGCACTGTAATCCAGCATGATCATGTAGAATATCTGCCTGAAATGATGGTTGTATTGTCACAGCCTGCACTTTTCGCTAGGCAGATTTTACATAAAGATACTAATTCTGGGTCAAAACATCAAAAATTGTAATGCTTATAATGAGCTCCGCAAATAAATCTTTATGGTGCGCTTAAGGTAGCCTTAATACTAGGCCTAGAAAAAAGTCCAAATACTTAGTTGTTTGGACTACTAGGATTGGGAATTTTTTATCCATGATAAATAATATGTTACTGCAACTTTGTGTGATTTGGTTTCAGGCAGGGATGAGAAGGGAGAGGAGTTACAACAACTACCACTCAGATTATGTTGTGCAATTATTTCATCTTTTTATAGCATTGTGGTTTTTTTTTGAGAAAGAAAAGTGTGAGAACATGGCAAATTACAAATAGTATATAGTAATGTATAACACTTGTTAAATGAGACAAGACAATTCCTTGCTTAAAACTACTTTTTTTAGAAGCATGCTTTTATTTGGTATACTCTGGGATATAAATTTAGTAAAAATATATGGGCATCATTTTATCAAGACTGTCAATAAATGTTCTTTAAAGTTCTAACTTCCTGCTTCTGTCAGCAGTGTTAACAGCCTGCTCACATCTGGCTGTTATCTGCTGGCCTGATTTGGATTGCTTTCTGTTTTGTCAAACTTTAGTGACTTTTCAAATAATTCTTGCTTCTTAAATAGTGAGCTTTTAACTTGACTTTATTTAGTATTGAATTTGAGATTAAAAAGTTAAAGTTTGTTACTACTAGCCCACTGACATAATCTTGAGGGGAGGGAGTTTTCATATCTTTTTTTTTAGCCTTCAATAGAAAATTTCTTGTCTTCCTTATCTTCCTTACCCTGTAACCCATCAAAGTTTATCATTAAAATATCTTAGTTTATTGATGTTTCTCCCAAACCATTTTAATTTCATTCTATTGTCAAGAAATTCTCATGATACAGTCAACAAATGGAGTTAAATACATACCACTTTCTTGGCTTAAATAATTGTTCCATGTTTTGTTGTAATTGTTGCTTTCTGATCATCATACAATTTCTTTAATAGGCACTTATGTTTTTAAAGGCTAGTGATAGTTTGCTGTGATTTGCATAGTCAAAAGCTTTGATATAATAAAGAAAAAAAGCTCTTGGTTTGGAATTTCCTTGCCTTTCTCATTATTCAGCCGATG